TGACAATTTGAAATTTTGGTTCAGACTTTAGCAAGCATCCTGGAATTTGACATGCTTGATTTGCTTTCGCGGGCCACAAAAAATGATTTGGCGGGCCAGATCTGGCCCCTGGGCCTTGACGTTGGCATCTGTGCTCTAATGTAAGGGAATATTGAGTTCGAGTATGAGAGTAGATTGACTTTTTCTTTTCAGATGACGAAATGCTAAATGAACAATCTGACATTTATAATATAAATGAAGTTAAAACTCACAAAAAAGGGGTGGGACTCGCTTAGGTTTGTTTTTTAACTTCTTACTTCCTTTGAACATGTAAATTGTGTTGAATTATGCCTATTTGTACAATTACTCATTATTTTTTTAACTTCCCTTGACTTGCTGCCAAATATATGTTTTCTGTTTCTATGTTCAATAAACGAGCAACCGAAAGAAGACCCTTGTGAGGATAAGCGGATCAGAAAATGGATGGATGGATGTCCCATGCCTCAATAACAATGTTTGTGATGCATGCTTGTCTAATTTTTTTTCTTCGTGTAAAAGACAAGTCCAACCTGAAATGCGCATTCCATAACTCACTGTACAGGGTGGCCTCAATTTTGGACAGTTTCTTTCCAATGTTGGCAATATAACCTGAAATTTTGAGTCGAAATGCGCTTATCACTTCACTACATGCCATGAATTCAGCATACAGTCATGCCTCATTTATCGCAGGAGTTACGTTCATATATATATGTGTGTGTGTGTGTGTATGTGTGTGTGTGTGTGTGTGTGTGTGTATACACACACACACACACACACACACTTTTTTTTAATCACTCTCTTGCAAAATGACAAAAATGGAGTTAAGTCTACTCTTGTTCACAGCAGCTCATATCAACCCGCTCTTCCGGTTTGGTCAAGATCGGCCCGGCTGACACTCGGGGAACTTTCAGGATTAGTGACGACTGCACCATAAAAAGTCAAAGAGCCAGACCCACTTATTTTCCTTCTTCTCCCCTCCCCTCCATTATTTCCAGCCCTGGATTCACCCATCGCTCGTGTCTTGTGACCCCTTTGCTGCAACCACACTGAGCGCCTTCTTTGGTCTGCCCACTTTGTCTCCTCTCACTTTTTGTCAGCACCCCTCCGCCCCCCACCACCACCAACACTTCCACCACCACCAGCAGCATCCAGCTCTTACTGTCCATCGCTGGGTTTATCCCCTCATCCCTGATCTCCCTTCATCCCTGAAATCCTCATCTGTTCCTCACAGGACAGAACAGGACAGGAGAGGAGAGGAGCGAGGGACTGGCCAAGGGGAGCATCAGGCCTGTTGCAAAAGTGAATGGAAAGTGCTGTGACGATCAGCGGCTGACTGACTGCTACACTGGTGTGATTACATTTTAGTCTCTCTCTTTTTTTTTTTTTTTTTTTTTTTAAAGGCATCTGGAACATTCCAAGAGGAGTCTCCAAACTGGTGAGGCCCATTTTTGTGTTTGGTTAGGTGTAAGTTTGTTTCAAAAAGTATAAATATACACACACACACACACACACACACACACACACACACACACACACACACACACACACACACAGACACATATATACGTTAGGCCTGCACGATATTGGAAAAACATGGGTTATGGGTGTTGAATACTGGAATATTAATATTATTGTACCAAATGAAATAAATATATATATATATATATATATATATATATGTGTGTGTGTGTGTGTGTGTGTGTCTATATAATTATCAAAATTATTTTGCAGATGCGATATTTGACGATATTTTTGGGATATATTGTGCAGCTCTAATATACATATACCTGTATGTATCCATACATATGATACTGTATGTATATGCACACACATTGTTTATAAATACATATCTACAATATGGCTTACTTTCAAATAATTACAAAATAAAAATTTAAATCTAAACACTGGCACAAATTGGCTGCCTTTATTTTGATTTTATTGAATTGACTTTTTCTGATGACAATTTTGTCAACGTGTATAAGAGGTACGCTGGTCACTGCAAATGGAACGAAGTCGATCGTAGGGCTGCAACTCACGATTCATTTCAACATCGAGTGATCTGATGATTATTTTGTCGATGAATCGAATTGACAAAAGCATTTTTATGTCTTTCCTTTTATCCAAAAACAGGACAAGATTTCAATTTGACAGTTGCTGAAAATGCACAAGCATTCATGACTTATGACTCGGTTCTTGGTTTGCTTCGTTCCAAAGAATGTCGGAAAATGGTCTTTTTGAATCACATCATCATGTGTTTTGTGGTTTTTCTTTGGTTTTATGTGGATGGCAATACAATGAGACTACAGGAATGTTGTATCGATGCAAGAAGCCAAATTTCAAAGAATACCCCCCCCAAAAAAAAATTTGAAAACCAAGAATCAGAATTCACCGAGCATGATTTTCACTCATGTGTCGGACAACTCATCTCACTCCCCCCCCCCCCTCAAACCCCATCACCCTTGCCCCTCCCGTCTCTTATCCACATGCAAAGAGCAGTCAGTAATCGGATGAGAGCAGATTTGATTCAAAAAGCCCCCCCCCTTTTTTCCTCTTTAAAAATCTCCACCGATGACACGATTTAAAACTCACTCTTTCGACTCCCCTTTTCGACCCGACCGCCACCCATGAGTGATGGCTAATGCGCTTCACCTTCGAGCACAAGCCATCCTGTGCCAGCAGCCATTTTATCACATGAAACAATGACAATCCAAGACTTTTGCGCCTGGAATAATGCATGAAAACAGCCACGATCAATCGTCGTTGTAATTTCATTTTAACAGCCTCATTCTTCCACTACCGGCTCTCCAGATGGCTTCAAACAAAAAAAAAAAAAATGTCAGACAAAACTTGCCCTTGGCCTCCTCTCCCTTTCACTTTAGACAAATGAGAGGCAAATCCGTCAGGTCATGTGTCGTCTGATTCAAATCGTGAGAGAAAGTGTAAGGGGAAACCGATGACAAGATATTGACGCAATTTTCTCCAATGAAATGAATTGACGGGCGGCCCGGTGGTCGAGTGGTTAGCGCGTTGACCTCAGAGTGCAGAGTTCGTGGTTTCGATCCCAGCTCTGGCCTCCCTGTGTGGAGTTTGCATGTTCTCCTTGGGCCTGCGTGGGTTTTCTCCGGGTACTCTGGTTTCCTCCCACATTCCAAAAACATGCATGGCAGGCTGATATAACGCTCTAAATTGTCCCTCGGTGTGAGTGTGAGCACGGATGGTTGTTGGTCTCTGTGTGCCCTGCGATTGGCTGGCAACCGGTTCAGGGTGTTCCCCCACCTAATGCCCAAAGACGGCTGGGATAGGCTCCAGCACCCCCCTTTATCCTCACCCTTGTGAGGATAAAACGGATCGGAAAATGGATGGATGGATGAAATGAATTGACGCAACATGAATCCAGACTCTCAGAAGAACAACACAATTCATTTCAGGACATGTTTTTAAATCAACAATTTAGCACCGCACTGGATGGTAAAATATGAAAGAGAACGGAAAGAAATAAACTGGTTGTGTCAAATGGAATGACTGGATGCATTGTAGTATTTCTGTGTTGGAAGTGTGCCTTTAAGGGGTGTGGCCTAGGCAGTGACATCAGGAGCTGAGTCAGGTGGGCCAGTGACTCTGCATGTGAGCGTCTGGGCGTGAGCTGTGGCCGACAGCAGCTCATTACAAGTGTTGTCATTTTGTTCTTGTTTGCACATTCTCTTCTGGGGACGTTTCAAAGCTTGTTTGGAGAAATACAGCAAATCCTATTTTGAACAATGAGATGATTTATTTATTTTTTTTGTACGAGCTAAGCTGAAGAAAATTTTTCAATCAGAAATTGTATTTTTGTAACACCCCCCGCCCCAAAAAAAGATTTGTTTTCAGGCCCAAGTGTAATTTTGGCTCCAAAACGACGCACCAGGGTGACATTTCTCCCACTCACTGATTTTGTCCATTAGACGATGAACTGGCTCTTTTAATCATGAAATGACCAAATTCAATTACAATCAACAATTTGGATGCTTGAACACACACACACACACACACACACACACACACACACACACACACCTCTCTCGTTCCCTCCCAATGCTTGCACGTGATGACATTCCAATGAAATGAATTGACGGGCGGCCCGGTGGTCGAGTGGTTAGCGCGTTGACCTCAGAGTGCAGAGTTCGTGGTTTCGATCCCAGCTCTGGCCTCCCTGTGTGGAGTTTGCATGTTCTCCTTGGGCCTGCGTGGGTTTTCTCCGGGTACTCTGGTTTCCTCCCACATTCCAAAAACATGCATGGCAGGCTGATATAACGCTCTAAATTGTCCCTCGGTGTGAGTGTGAGCACGGATGGTTGTTGGTCTCTGTGTGCCCTGCGATTGGCTGGCAACCGGTTCAGGGTGTTCCCCCACCTAATGCCCAAAGACGGCTGGGATAGGCTCCAGCACCCCCCTTTATCCTCACCCTTGTGAGGATAAAACGGATCGGAAAATGGATGGATGGATGAAATGAATTGACGCAACATGAATCCAGACTCTCAGAAGAACAACACAATTCATTTCAGGACATGTTTTTAAATCAACAATTTAGCACCGCACTGGATGGTAAAATATGAAAGAGAACGGAAAGAAATAAACTGGTTGTGTCAAATGGAATGACTGGATGCATTGTAGTATTTCTGTGTTGGAAGTGTGCCTTTAAGGGGTGTGGCCTAGGCAGTGACATCAGGAGCTGAGTCAGGTGGGCCAGTGACTCTGCATGTGAGCGTCTGGGCGTGAGCTGTGGCCGACAGCAGCTCATTACAAGTGTTGTCATTTTGTTCTTGTTTGCACATTCTCTTCTGGGGACGTTTCAAAGCTTGTTTGGAGAAATACAGCAAATCCTATTTTGAACAATGAGATGATTTATTTATTTTTTTTGTACGAGCTAAGCTGAAGAAAATTTTTCAATCAGAAATTGTATTTTTGTAACACCCCCCGCCCCAAAAAAAGATTTGTTTTCAGGCCCAAGTGTAATTTTGGCTCCAAAACGACGCACCAGGGTGACATTTCTCCCACTCACTGATTTTGTCCATTAGACGATGAACTGGCTCTTTTAATCATGAAATGACCAAATTCAATTACAATCAACAATTTGGATGCTTGAACACACACACACACACACACACACACACACACACACACACACACACACACACACACACACACACCTCTCTCGTTCCCTCCCAATGCTTGCACGTGATGACATTCTGACAGGACATACTGGTTTGTGTGTACATACAGGGCGAATCATCTGAAGAGCAAATAGTTTTACTGTTAAGGGCTCGCTCGAATATTCATACACTCCTGCATGAGCTCGAGGGATGTGTGCGTGAGAGGGGGTGGGGGTGAACTGTGTGCGCGTGCGCCCCCAGTTTCCGTGTGTTTAATGAAGTTTGCAAAGCAGACGAGAGCCCAGTTTGACTTGCAAAAACATTACTCCCCGGCGGAGCCGCAGCCTGCCGCAGGTCAAGCTCGGCGTCAGGTGTTTTCGACACACCACCGGACGGAAGCGTGTGATTGTTGTACTGAGGGGCAGACGCTGAACTGTGTTGTCTTTTCTTGACGGGGGTGTGGGGGGCCTTCTCAGCTCTCCCACCGTCGCTGACAGTGCCTGCCGAGCATCGCCATGGGTGAAATGGAGCAATTGCGAAAGGAGGCAGACAGCCTCAAGGACCAGATTACCGTGAGTACGCTCTATGTTATCACTGCCTCATCAATCAAATAAAAAGAAAAGCAACAGCGGAGTCGCTCTTGTTCATTTCGAAACAATTCTCGTCATATAAATATATAAATCATGGAAATAGAAATCATTTGTTCCAAGGTCACACTGTCCCCCAAAATTGCAGTTACTGAAGAAGTGATTGAAGTCACGCAAGTGTAAAAAATGAGCCTGAACATTGTCAAATAAAACTTAAATGGAAGTTTCATCTATTCATCTTTCAAAACATATTGCCCGACTTCTTGTTTAGCAGATGGGTCCTTGAAAGATTTCGTACATCTTGTTATAGAGAGACATGGTCACTGGATTTTGTTTGGTAGGAACTTGCCAAAATCTGTTTTTGAAGAACTACGGGAAATTCTCAAAACGACTCTAAAATGGCTGCTTCGAAACAGAACGGTTGACTTCCTGTGTCTTGTCAGGAATGGCTTCTTGAGAAGTTTTTGTCGGTCTACACAAAGACATGCTCATTGAATTTCATTCTGCTCATTGAAATTGGTTTCAAGTGTAAATTTTCACTCCCCCACACCTCTCCAAAAAATTGAACAAAATCTGTCGGATAAAATTTGCTTTTGAAACAACCAGGCAGGCCAAAATGCCCCTAAAACAGCAGCCCTTCTGTCTTTTCAGACATGGCTTCTGCAGATTTTTGTGGGTCGACTCATGATAGATATTGCCAGCAAATTTCATGTTGGAAAGAGAAACTACTTTGGGGGCTGATATATCTGGAGGACAAGTCTATAAAAAAATCCATGGAATGGCAAAAGTCAAGTTAAAATGGCCACTTCAAAACAAAATGGCAGACTTCCTGTGTATTTTTGGGCATGGCCTCTTCAGACTTTTTTGTGGGACGACTAATGTTCACCACATTTCATGTTGCTGACAGAAACTATCTTCAGGCGCTTTTTTTCTTCTTTTTTCCATCATGAGTTTGCCTTTGAAGGGCCCATGGAAATAACAAAAGTCACCTCAAAATGGCCATTTGAAAACAACATGGCAGACTTCCGATGCCTTTTGAGGCTTGAGCTGAAATCTCCACGACTTGAGCTGAACTCTCAAGAGGTTTGACTTTTAGGACCCATTTTTCCCTTCCACTTAGGCAGCGCGTAAGTCCATGCAGGATACAACCCTGCAGGAGGCCGTGGCCAGCATCAACGTGGTGGGCCGCGTCCAAATGAAGACCAGGAAAACACTGAGGGGCCACCTCGCCAAGATCTACGCAATGCACTGGTCCACTGACTCCAAGTAGGTCATTTAAAAGACCGCCTTTTTTTTTTTTTGAAAAGATTATGTAAGAAATGGAAAGATTTTGTATTCACGTGCCCACAGGCTGTGCGTGAGTGCCTCACAAGATGGGAAGCTCATCGTGTGGGACAGCATCACAACCAACAAGGTGAGACGGAGTGGTAAGAAGTTACACACCTTTGCTCGCTGTTTGGTTCTCCGTGGGCTGCTGAGGGAAGGGCTCAGTGTCTGCCGAGTGGATGGCGAGCAGGTTTTTCCTCTTCGAAACAGACGCCTGCGGGAAACAAAAATGTCAGGAAGGTGGACTGCTGTTTCTGTTAAGCGTAATTCACAAGTTTTTTTAACTTAACAAAAAAAAAACAATACATGCAGGTCCGAACATTGAGATTGATCCACAACTGGATATGGTTGCATCAAATCCTGTGTGAAGTCTTTTGGTTGAGTCATTGCACCGCCCCCAAAAAATAAAAAAAATAACAAAATAAAAAACATCTCTCCACATTAAATACTAAAAAAAATGTACATTTATTTTCTTGTATTTTCTTTGGATTTATATTACAGGATTTTTGAGGCCTTCCAATTTTATATTCAATGTAAATTACATTTTCTGTATTATTTAGAATAGTTTTTTGACTATTTTTAAAGTCTTTATCTTAATGATTACATATATTTTACTATAATCTTGAATTAATATATTTAAATGTAAACGTAAAACTTAGTCGAATCACAGCAACAGTGTTGCAAATCCGGACCAATGTTAGCTTTCTCTTAGGATTGGAGGCCAGCTGTTTAGCTACCTGTTACTGCTGACCAAGAGGACAAATTTACATCCGTAAAGATGTAAAGAAAAAAAAATTGGAAATATGTAAAGAAAAAAAACGTATTCTCTTATTCTGATCACTTGCACAACGGGGTTGCAGGAGGTAGAGTGAGACATTCAACCGGTGCTAACTATTTTATAAAAATGTGGAGAAATAAAAGAGAGGACATACCTTTGCTCGACCTATTCTTTTGGGAAACTGTTTGATGATGGAAAGTCCAGCGTACCATGTGATTCACTGCTTTCTTCTTCTTCTTCTTCTTCTTCTTCTTCTTCTACTACAATGCAAAAAAACGTTAAGGTAACTGGATTGCGTACACGTGGGACACGTTCGCGTTCCATGAATAATTCTTATTTAAATTATTGTGTTTACTAAAATAAATGCTCCCATGGTTACAACAGACAGCAATGAAACAAATAATATAACTTTAAAAAAATAAATTTTAACTATTTTATTTGAGATTTAATTTGGTCATTGGGGCGGGACCACAGAAATTTTTTGGACGTACAGTACTGTATTTGGTATTTTAAAACTAATTTCAAACCTTCTTTTCTCTTAGTTTTTTTTTTAAGATTTGGTCACAGGACAGGTAAAGAAACTGCACGTTTTGTATGTGGATTAATTAAAATTTGATGGGACGAGAAATATTCTCCAATTTCGCCATGACCCTCGAACGCATCATGGTGATAGTAAACTCAGCCTCCATTAGTGGATGTGTATTCTTCTTGACAGGTGAACGCCATCCCCCTCAAATCATCGTGGGTGATGACGTGCGCCTACGCCCCGTCGGGGAACCTGGTGGCGTGCGGGGGCCTGGACAACATGTGCTCCATCTACAACCTCAAGGGCAAGGACGGCAACGTCAAAGTCATGCGCGAGCTGGCGGCGCACACAGGCTAGTGGGAACCAAAGCCGTGTTTCTCCTCTGCAGCGTTTGTCAAGTTTTGTTTTAATTGCAAAATCGCCCTCGTTATGCTGCAGGTTACCTGTCATGCTGCCGTTTCCTCAGCGACAGCGAGATCATCACCAGCTCTGGAGACTGCACTTGGTAAGTCGCCTTTAGTACATTTCATGAGGCACACATGGACTTTCCTGATTTCCGTCATGGTGGCGGTCTTGATTTCAGCGTGCTATGGGACATTGAGACGGGCACCCAGAAGACCATCTTCGCAGGCCACCAGGGAGATTGCATGTCCTTGGCCGTCTCCCCGGACTTCAAGTTCTTCATCTCAGGCGCGTGCGACTTCACAGCCAAGCTGTGGGACATCCGCGAGGGCAACTGCAGACAAACCTTCGGGGGCCACGAGAGCGACATCAACGCCATCGGGGTAAGGACACTCGGTGATAAGAACTGTTGATTCCCATGGGACGCCGTGTCCTCACCAACTCCTCCGCAGTTCTTCCCCAACGGCAACGCGGTCATCACAGGCTCCGACGACGCCACCTGTAAGCTGTACGACCTGAGGGCCGACCAGGAGCTCATCACCTACCAGGACTCCAGCATCATGTGCGGCGTCACCTCGCTGGCGCCCTCCCTGTCGGGACGCCTCATCCTGGCCGGATACGACGACTTCAACGTCAACATTTGGGATGCGCTTAAAGCCGAGAGAGTGGGTGAGTTGGACAGTGTGACATTCGTATGCAACCCACCACGAAACAAATGTTATTGATTTTTATTTTTTTCAATTTTCTCCAGGAGTGCTGGCCGGCCACGACAACCGAGTGAGCTGCATCGGCGTCTCATCTGACGGAATGGCGTGCTGCACGGGATCGTGGGACAGCTTTCTCAAGATTTGGAACTGAGGGCTCACGGCTTTGGGATCTGTTTGGGGGATTTGCCAGGAGGGTCGCTGTATTTATTTGTGCCAATTTTTAAAGTTGGGTTTGCTAATGTGAATGAATATTCCTCTCTAGTTCATTATTACGTACTGTAGTGATCTGGCACACCTGGCCGCTGCGGTCGAGCAGTCGGCCAACGGAAGCACGCTGGATGGTTGTCTGTCATGTTAGGGTTGATTCCAACTATACCGTATGCTGTGTTTTATATCAAGCAAACTTGTTTTTTTTTTTTTTTGGTTGTTAGTTTTTCCGTCACAGGCTTATGTTGACTTGCTTTTCTAAATAGAATTGAACGCCCTGCTTTAGAGGTTTTTGTGTTTGTGTTGAATGTGACATCATCTTGTTTCTCTCCCCCCCCCCACCCCCCTTCATAAAAATGTGATAGACAGCCGACAGATGGGACAACAAAAGGTGGTTCACTAAGCACTTCCAAACAATGACCCATTTGTCTCAGGATCTACGAATGAATGCCATCGTGTGCACCCGAGCACTACTTTGTGGAATTAGTGGGAAAGAGTAAATACTAGTTGACCTTTTAGTCCGTCAGGCAAAGACAAAAGGTAGAGTAATTTACAGGTTGCCAGGTTTTCTAATTCGGGTTTCACCACATCAGGAAATGTTTCGCATAGCTTTCTAAACAGACTGTCAAATAAAAGATGGGATTCCATTTGTCTTCTGTGATCATTGTCCAGAATGTTGTTAATTCCAGGGCTGTGTCACATTTTTTTAAAGAACACTCTCAGAGGCAAAAACAAATGCGTAGCAGTTAATTTTATTCAAATTTTTTAGAACGGACAAAACAGGACATGAAAAACAGGACATGGTGGTAGTAAAAGGCAGAAAAAAGTACAAGCTGTACACATAAAAGCTTATGTCAAGGGCTATAAAAAAAAAAAAAAAAAAAAGAAAATATTTACAAATTTGCACATCATCGATTCTCCTTGTTCAGAGACACGGCCAGAAGTCTGCGGTCCAGCTGGACGGGCCGAGGCTTCTCTGGGGTGGAACCTTTCAGCTTCATCTGCAATAAATACATTTGGATTTATTTTAAAATAAACGTTTTTGCGAGTCACAGGGATAGATCGTTGTCTAGTTGCTAATGGAGCCGATCTACAGGGATGGTGGATGAAGGTAGTCCAATGATCGATATTGTGTAATGCTAGTTAGCCAGAGACAGCGGAGTCAAATGGCTCAATATAAGATACACACACACACACACACACACACACACACACACACACACACACACACACACACACACAATGGCTAGCTAGCAAAGCATGCATCAATAGAAGCAGTGAGAGAGACGTAGCCCGAGAACTTTACAAGTGGCTATCAGGCAACTCGAGCTTAAGCAGCTAGTCAACTACAAATACAGCGCAATCGCTAGGTCGCTATAGCTGAAGAGCAGAAGAAGCATATCCAAGAGCAAAACTGATGTCCCCGGGCATATAATGACAACTGTAGTTAGAATTTGATAACTATAGCAGGAGATGAATGGTAAAAATCAAGATATGATGATAGGTAGGGAGCCACAGCTCATAGTGGCAGACTGACAGCGTAGCTCAGAATCGGTAGCATAATTAGCCAAAGGTAGCTAGAGGCAGAAACATGAGCAATTCTGAGTCTGTATGAAAACTACTTAGTACATTTTTTTTTGCTGTCAAAAGAACGCAGAACTACCGCGAACTAAAAAAAGCCAGTGAATGATGGGTAACAGAAGTAGAGGTTGCCACTTCTAGAAACTGAAGTTTTAGATTGCAGTCAGTGAAACCCCCAATTCAGTCACCTTTGCTGTATTAAGTAGGCAAAATATTCTGTGGGAATAGACAAATTCACTTGAAAAACATCTTCCATTGCTGAAGAAAATAAATTGCCCTTTAAGTGTAACCCCCCCATTACCTGAGGTTGTCCCCTGTGAGAGTTGAGGATCTGTAGTGGGGAGCGGCCATCTGTACAGAGAAAAGAAAAGAAAAAAAACACGCGCTAAATGCAAATTAAGTCACACTCACCACTCAATCAAGAAAATGGCGGTCGACACACACGCACCTTTCTGCTTTTGTTTCCCAGAGTTCCCCTTGTTTTCATCGTTGACATTCTTAACCGCCACAGACACAGCAAGAGGAGAGGCCCCCCCTTTGGAACCTTGCACCGCCCTGGCTCTGAGCCCGGTGGCCCCAAAGCCTTTACCCAGCCACTGCGGCTTGAAGACCACCTGACTCGGACTCCTGATGTCCAGGGTGAGGCGGTGGGCGCCGGTGGGAAGCTGAGAGCCGGGCGCCTGGGAAGCCTCCTTTGGGACTTCTTTGGAGTCTTCCTGCAGTTGTACAGGCGGGTCCGAGGAGACCAAGGTGGGCTCCAGCGTGACATCTGGAAGGGCGTAGAGGTGATCCACGCCGCGGTTTAGCGACGCCGTTACCGCAGCGGTGCTGCTGCCGTCCCGATGCACCTCTGCGAGGATCTGGGAGGCGGGCGCTCCCTCATGGCAGGTGATGAGGCTCATGCTCAGCCTCTTGTGGAGCGGAGACTCCCGGGCCTCCTCCGCCTCCTCCAGGCTCGCGCTGTCCGTTTCGATGTCCACCTCCACCTGGGGTTCCTCCAGCAGCACAAAGGGGCTGCAGGAACTGTCCCCGCTTTGAACAGGCACGGCCAGGAGGTTGACGTGCTCGGCTAAGGCGCCGAAGACGCGCGGCCTCTGAGGAGTCAGGAGAGGCTCCGTGGAGCCCAGCTCCTCGCTTTTGAGGACGTCGCGATTCTCTTGTGCGGGGCCGCCACTTGGGGGGACTTTGCCCTCGGCTTCCATGTGGAACATCATACCCAGGCGACGAGCAAAGCTGCCCACCTTGGCTGCAAACGGCAAGTGATATTTATCGATAATGGGTTGAGCAAAATCTAAATTATGGGTGCCCAATTCCGATTTAATCCTTTATCGGGATATTTTTGGACCATCCGTTCCCATGTGGCGATCATATCAAGTTACATTTGTCATACAAAACAACAAAGCAAACGGTACGGTCTTATGAAATGTAATTTTCTATATACAGTACTTTGTTTCACTTGGGGCTATTTTGTTTTTTTTGTGCTCCATTGTTACAGTTGAATTGAGTGTGTTGTATGTGAGCCAGCAAGTGGATGACAGCTGGAGCCAGGGCCTGTGAGTTTGCATGCAAGTACGTGGCCTTGGAGTTGCAAGCGGTGTAAACAAAGCTCTCATCAGTTACCTCTCATGACTTCTCGGACAGGCGTGCGGGCAATGCCCAGGGTGGGTGAGCGGGGATCTCCTCCCTCCAAGGGACACTCATTCGTCACATCATTCATTTTATTCCCACCAACCTAAGGGAAATAAAAACGCTTAATCCTGTGTTTATATATATTAAACATTTGATTCCAACTGTAACTAGAATTTTGCCCAAGTTTGAGCCCAATCAAGCGGCTCATACGGTACCTGAATGGGTGTGCGATCAATGGCCACCGATGGGGAGCGTGGATCGTTGAGCTGGGCGACCCGGGAGTTCTTGACGGGGGCTTCTGGTTTGCCTGCAGCACTCTCGGTAATCTTACTCTCACTGGCTCCCATCCTTAGTTTTTATTTTTATTGTTTTAAGTCAAACCTGGACAACCACAAGACTGATGAATGGGGCGATTTAAAAAAAAAAAATCAAAATGTTCATTTGAAAATATCCCTTGATTACATGCAAAGCCAATTTAAGTGCATTAATCGCATAGTTAGGTTTAAAGAAGGAGACGGGCCAATTATGGCTTAATTTTTACAATAAATTACAATATGGAAAGCATTCACCTTAAGGACTACAGTATTTTAATCGCATTTCAAGCATTGTCAAGGACACTTCAAACTTGACCACAACAGCTGTAACACACCTTAACTTCAATTATTTTGTCATTAAAGACAACAAACAGGAGTGATCTTAGTGATCCTAACGTGTGCAATGGTAAGTTTCATGCACTGGTTCATGCTCTCGATTTACATTTCTTGTTGTGAAATTATTTTCAAGCCCTTCATTCTTGACAGTAGTTCGCGAAAACGCAATGCAATCAATTAGGTGTAACAGATATGACTTTGGGTGTACGTTTGTAGCGTCGACTCGCAACGGTAAGTACGATTAACCGTGTGCAAATATCAGCTCGTGAACAAGGTACAGTAGTTGTGCTAATGTGACTTCTTATTTCAGTCGCAGCAAAGACAACTTCCCCTTTCTACGTTTTGTAATGTCGTGCATTAACGTAGACTTTAAAGTGTACAACGCTTTAATAAAGCCTCGGAGACAGCAGCGGATAGATTTTCAAGCTTACCTTTAAAAGTAGACAGAGTCGACGTAATTTATCGCACGTTAGTCGAAAGACTTGAAGTAAAGCAACAAACAACCGAGGCAACTTTCGTTATTTAAATGGGGCGGTAGGGCACACGCTTTTTTTGAATAAGCCAATCAGCGTGCAGGTACGCCCCCTGTTTTCGGCCCTGATTGGTTGAGGGCAATGGTGATCGACAGGTAGGCGGGGCGTCAAGTCAAATAAACGGTTTTATTTTCTGCAGGCGGTGCACGTGTTTCAGTATGTTGTTACGTTGCTCAATTCATGATCATTATCTTTTTTTTTTGCCAACTGTCAGTTACGTCACATTTCTTAACGTTTATCGTTGCTCAAACCCCAAAAGCTGCCTTGAAAACATTTACAACATCAAACTGGATTTGGTACATGTAATTTGAATACAGTAATTAAGTTGACAAATACAAATATGAAAATAAATGCGTGTATTCCAACTTTCGGGCCACCCTGTAGAATTTTGAATGACTTCAGTTCAAACCGGGACAAGCACTTTGAATCAAAGCTTTATTGCTGATGATTATACGAAACTCTGCAGCCAAGCCGGCAGTTGCCTGAAAACAATTCCGTTACGATAATACGTGTTATGGGGTCCTCGCAATTTACAGTGGGGCAAGTGTTTGACGAGATTTGAATGAAGGGAGGAGCCCACGGGGAACCAATCATATTGCACAAATATGATCTTATCATTCAGCCTGTCGCTAGCTGGTCCCCACACACACACACACACACACACACACACACACACACACACACAAAAAGATGTATGATGTAAAGTTTTACAGGTGTTCAGTTCAGCGGCCTGGCTTGTAGATGGGGGGTAATTAAATATCTATCCAAAAAAAACTAAAAAACAAATAATTGATTTAACCATTCCATTCTGCAAGTTCTTGTGACAAAAAGTGGTGCAACTTAAAATCGGGTACCCACGCTGTCTCGTCCATCAATCTACTGTACATAATAACCACGCTGGAGTTTACAGCTCGACATACATAACAACTTCTTTTTGAAGCAGGGCAAAAAACAGCGATGGTGTGATTACAAAACTGTCAAAGCATTGTAAAAGGAACCAGCAGGACTGTGGAATTTGCAAAATAAACAAAATGCATTCCGGTTGGCTGAGACGAAAACTCCATTTGTACCAAAAGGGCACCGGTTGATGATTAGAGGACCAGTCAGAGTGTCTTCCTCCTCAGTTCCGTCTTGTTGTCCCTTTCAGTCCCAAACATGTTCCTCCTCGCGGGGAGCATTCGCACAAAATAAGCCCCCCCGTGCCGAAACATCATTGGGGCCCGCCCTCCACCTCCCTCTGGCAGAAGTGGGCCAGCAACGCGTCCAGGTCGCGGCGGTCAGCGGCCGAGTAGAGCGAGCTCTCGCCCATCATGCTGAGAGCCATGCGCAGCGTGGACCAGATGTTGTCCGACATGACGGTGGCCGCAGTGCTGCCGGGGCCCCGCATGGCTCGTGCCTCCGCGCCGCCGCCGGCCTGGCGCTGAAGGGAAAGGGCTTCCAGGAAGTGCTCCACCGCCTCCCTGCACATTCAGCAGACAATTGAGCTCCAGCCTTGTCAGGACAGGTAGAATCGTTAATGCTTCCTGGTTCACGTGGATTCGGTGCGGATTTCTTAAGACGCCACAATATTTCAATTAAACAGTGAAGGAGCAAGAGCTCCACCATGAGTTACTTGATCTGTTTTCAAATATAGGTAGTGTACGTGAAAATTCATCACCATATAAACATGCAAGTACAGATAGCTGAACAAAAAAAAAAAAAAAAATCTACCGGGTTACAAAAAAAAAAAAAAGAAAAAAAAAGTTTTTCCATCTTTGGAGATGACCTCACTGAGGCGTCATATGCTGCACTACTTTGGCTGAATGAGCAGGAGCAGCAAAATTACGGTGCTGGTTGGCGCCATCTAGCGGACAAATGACTTAACCGATTCCCGCCATGTGCTCCACCAGTCCAAATGGATTGAGCTGGCTCAAAGTAGTGCCACAAGGCGTTGTTAAATTGAAACTTGTCTCAACCCGACATGAGCAATGAAACAGGTTTTCATCAAGTCACATGCAAATAAGTAAAAACTGAATATGTAGCGTAAAAAAAAAAAAATCACACTACTGGAACATATAAATAATATATTAAGGGGGAGATGAAAGTCTTAGAATTATGAAGTACTAAAAATTGATCATGACAGTCCAGGAGAAAAGCAAGAAATATTGCACAACAGCCTTATGAGGTGATTATCGGTGTAAGTGTGTCCGTCCGTATCACCTGTGCGCGCCTAAGTTGACACAACTGATTCCGAGGTTGTAGCGGCTGCGGACGAAGCCTGGCTGCAATTCCAGGGCTCTCCTGTAGGCGGCCACGGCCTCCTCTGAGCGGCTACCGTTGGCCAGCGTGGCCCCCAGCTTGTTCCACAGTAAGTAGTCCTGAGAGACGGACGGGGGGGGGGCAAGGACGGCGTCAAAACTGACCACACGTACAAGACTGGAGACTGGGCGTTGAGCTACCACTTCACCTGTGGTGTGACAGAGAGCGCCGCAGTGAAGCAGTCCACCGCTTTGTCGTACTCACCGCTGAGGTTGAAGAGGACGCCCAGACCGCACTGCAGCTGAGGGTCCACCTGCGCAGGATCCGTGTTAGCTGCACGCAGGAACAAACTCTGCACATCTGTAAATAAGGACCTGGGAGAGAGAGAGAGAGAGAGAATCAAATCAAATCATCGTTTCCCACCGAAGAAACTGAAATGCAACTAAGCCGTTCTAAGCTGGGGGGGCGGGGGGAACCAATAAAAATGCTTAAAATGTTTACTAATCAGAAAAATATATTGTACTTCAATAAACACATCCAGTCATGAAAATGAAACACACTGTCAAGAAATTGAAGCGATTTTTTTTTTTTGGGGGGGTTCATTTCAAGGGCCATTGTGTTGTTCCTTCTCGGCCACTTTCCACACAACTAAAGAGCTTTTTTTTTGCGACTCACTCTGGCAGCAGCGAGCCAAAGCGCTCCTTCTCCTTTTCCCTTTGTCGCGACGCATCCTGCTGGCGCTCCCGCTCGTGCTGCTCCCACACGCCGCCGTATTTGGGGTTGTGCTTGAGCCAGTCGCGAAGCGTCTCGCAGGCCTGCCGGTGCAGCGACTCGTTGGTGAAGCTGACGGCCAGCGCCATCAGAGCGGTCAGGTTGTCGTTCTTCAGCTCCACACATCTGACGGGAGAAAGACGTGGGGGCATTTTTTTCAGTGGTATTTATGGACGCCGTCTTTGGAAGGAAAGTGCAATAACTCCGATCGGTTGACTGCACGTTAAATCACAACACTGGAGCTCCTCTCGGAAAGCACCTTGAAGATTTCGCTCCACTGACTTTTGTTTTACAATCCATCATTTTCAACACGACTCCTCAGAAAGAGACGACTATAAAGAGCAAATCCATCATGGCGAGCCGCTCTCAATCGGGAGCGTGCGCAGACCTCACCCAAAAGCGTCGCCATTTTTCAAAGATCTTTGCAGCTAAAAAGCAGGCAAAGTTCCACGCGGCCTTCTGGATCAAAGGATAAAAGCTGATCTTGTAAAATTGGATTGAAATATAACTGCGGCAATGAGATTTTCAAATCCAACCTAAATTCCTGCCAAAGTTTTTTTTTTTTTTTTTTTTTTGCTCCGGGTGGTTTGATATTACAGATTGCGACTCTGCATGGAATGACGGCAAAAGGAAATCTGTTTTCGCCCGTGCGTTTAGTCCATAGAACTGACCTGCGGAGGGCGCTGATGGCAGCAAATTCTTGCTCGTTCTCTGCTTGACAAGTTCCCAGATATTGCCAAGCCTGCAAATAAATAAATAAATAACATCAACGGCAGCAAAAAAAAAAAAAAAAAAAGTTTGTCAATGCTTTCCTGGGCGGAAAACATGAAAATGAATCACAAGAGTCAGTACGACTCCATTAAGTGGGCCGCACACAGAGACTGATGATCGGGGCAAATTTCAAGGTGGACTGTGAAGTAATTTTAGAAAACGCAAAAGGAACAATTTTTATGTCACAAATGAAGTAAGTAAACCAAATCCATGAAATAAAGCACAAATCAGTCGCCTCCTAGCTTAAGATCTTGCAAGCGCACCAGTTGGTTGTCTGGTTCTTTCTGTACTGCACTCTCAAAGAAGCGAACGGCCCCGGGGATATCCCCCGCTTCCATCCTCTTCAGGCCTTCCGTCAGAGGGTCCTGGTGGGACAGGTAAGGGTTGTCCTCTTCAAACTGGTACCCCTGGAGACCAAAACCAGCGGGGGGGGGGGGGTGTCAAACTCTACGATGATGCTGAATCGTGTGCAAACGAAGCGCTTCGTGAAACCTTATCGTAAGACGAGCTGAGTAGCTGATCAAAGTCCGAAAGCCAGGGGTGACTCTCCGCGTCGGGGAGTGTGTAAGGACAGTCAAATTTTACAGAGAGGCCGAGGAGGCGCACATGGCGCTTGTCTTTAAAAAGTGATTTATGAGCAAGAGGAAGAGGTGGAGGAATTTCCCCGCCTCTGCAAGTCACATAATTCATCTCCAGATCTTCTTCCCCCTGCCCCCCTCCCAATCGGCCTCCTTCCTGCATCCAATTAGCAATGCGGTTCACCGCTGGCTCTGACTCACCTCCACCGCGGCTTTGGCTTGGTGGAAATCCGGTCCCGCTGCGGTGAACTCGTCCACCCAGGCTTCGGCGGACTCCTGCGACACCTGAGTAAGAGACGAGCGGTGAAGTTACTCGCTCTGAGGTTTATGCGTTAACTTTGGAGCGGGGATGGAAGGGTGGGAACTGGGAACGATAAATCAGGAGGTGCTGGGGGGGGGGGCATGGAAGGTGAATGGAAAGGCGGAAAAGACAAAGACAGAAAAAGCCAGTTTTCTTCCGCACACTCGCTGCTGAATGTGGGAAATGCACTCAAGGTTGCCGGGCGCATCTCCCCGAGGCAAAGTGGAAGACTGCAGTCTAACGGTGGCATGACCTTGGCGGTCCTACCTGCCTGACGACCTTGGCCCAGTGCTGTGCCTGCTTAGCTTTAGCTTTGTCAATCTTCTCATTCCTCTCTGTGGATTCCAAGGGAAGACTCCCTCCCCCAGTTTCCATCAGGAACTATGCCGAGGAAGAGGAGGAGGAGGAGGAGGAGGAGGAACGGGACAGAGTTTTTGAGGTTTTTAAGGGGTCGGTGTGGGATTTCGTTTCGAGGGCAAAAGGAGGTAGATGATTTGTGGTTGTTAATTCAGGGTCAAAAACGGGAAGAGTACAATGGCAAAGTTCGAGGCCCGTGGTTAGGAAGCCGCTCTTCATCACAAAAACACGCGCTGTATCGTAGAGTCATCATTTCTGGCAGGAAAACAATGTTTTGTCAAACGGGAACGGCAAATGACAAGACAAAAAAAAAAATACAAAATCTATAGATGAGCAGCCAAACCAGGACGAGCAAATGTGATTTAAATCTGTTCTATGTCATTTCTTGGCACAAGTGGGCTTCGACAGCGATTTGAAGGGGGGAAAATCCATCAATGTTTGGCTTCGGGCTTTTTCACTGACAGGAAGTGAACACCACAGTGAAAATGAATCAAGGTTGACATTTTTAAAAACTCGCGCTCATATGCATCGAGTACTTATGTGCAGGCGCAAGATTCATCGCGGCGGCCGGTTGGTTTGGAAACGGGCCATGGCCTTGGCGAGAGGACAAGGGTCACGTCTTTGTCGTGGCAAGCGGCTCGTACCTGCTTGAGGTTGGAAGCCCAGTTGTGAGCCTCCTCGGCCTGAGCTTTATCTGTCAGCTGTTTGTCTGTCATGCTCTCCACTGTCACACTGCCCTCGCCAATTTGCCTAACGAACCGCAGGAACTACACAACAGAATATAAAGGAACGGAAAGAGAGTCGAGTGACAGATATGTGCAATGAAAGGGGGCGTCGCCGTGTCGGCTGGACAAGAAGTTGCCGCTTACCTCCGTGTTTTGTAGCTTGGGGTCGTGAACCTTGGAGACCAGCTCGTTGGCCGTTTGTCTCAACTCGTCTTCCGGCTGGTATTCCTTTGTCCTGTTAAAGGAGCAAGAAAGGACGACCGGTCATTTTTCACAGGGGGGCGGAGATAGAGAGTGCACTTTGATTTTTATTTACAGGCATGTTTCGATATATATCGAACGCAGATGTCGAGTGGATCTAAAACGTCTACACGTCCCTGTTCAAATGCCAAGTCTTTGTAAGATCGAGATACGCCACGGATCGCTTCTCCTTCCGTTTTACATCTGAACAAGAACACTTCCCACTCGCTCACCACTCGTTCTCCTTGTCTCCAAAGTCTCCCAGCCACAGCTTCTCCTCCGACTGTTCCAGATACTCCTCTGCCCAGCGTCCAGGATCTGGAAAGGGAAAACGGGCACGCCGGGAGACCACACAGTCAGAAACTACAAAACATATTTCATACACTGAAGAAAAATCGTGCGGGTTCACAGATGGATGGAAGCAGCGCGGGAATCCGGTCCACGGTGGGGAAAAAAAAAATGTTCAGTACAGCTGTACTGCAGTGAAAACATATCAATGACGAAGATGCTTATTACGTTATCATCGCATTAGAGTCGACAAAAAAAGAAAATCTTGAGTCAATCAACCCCTGCTTGGGACACGGCGTCCATTAGAGTGGCAGCCACTGTTTGAGGAAATCCGAGGCATATAAATCATGGAAGGAGGAGCAGCATTGAAAGTTAAAAGGAAGAGCTTACTCAGAAAGTGGATACAAGAATAATATGATGGTAATGTAATCCGTTAAAGCAGCATTCCTACAGTACGCGAAATAAGACCACAGCGCCAAATCAAACACAGAAAAAGAATACGAATGAAAAGAGGAAAAAAAAAACTATGGAATGAAATAGTAAGTTCACCTCACACACACACGCACACACAAACACACACACACACACACACACACACACACACACACACACACACACACACACACACACACGCACATCGCCACACAAACACACAAAAAAAATACCCGCAGCCTGAGCGATGAATTCTTTGGTCCAGTCGGCGTCCGCGGCGTCACCGAGTGCGACAAGGCCCGACGTCGATGTCGATTCCGAGCCCGAGACAAACTCCGCCGCCCAGTCGCCTGAGAGAGCCAACGCCGCCACATCTGGAGCTGTGACGCCACAGTAAACATTGCGTTCAAGCAAGGCTGGAGGCATGCGTGAGGTGCGCCGAATGACTCCCAGAAGACAAACCTCTCTGCGGAGCCTGTCTGTAGCTCTGCTGGTCGATCTGCTGCATCTCCTCCAGCAGCTGACCCATGTCGAAGGTGTGCGGGGGACGTGGGGGCGCCTGAAGGAATTCGTTGACCAGCTGGGAACATCCCAAATAGACGCTAGCGTCGCTTTTGGCTCTCACCACAATGTTCAATCAAACTGGGGGAAGTGAAAACATGCTCACTGACCTCATCTTCCGTTGCGATTTCGATGGGAGTTGGGGGAATCTGGTATGAAGTCAAATGTAAAAATAATGAGACGTGTTGTCGACTTTCCAAACATTTGTTACGCTTCGACCGGCGCGCTCACCGTTGGTGTGGCGCGGTGTCGCCATGCGCCGCCGTCCTTGGTCATGTGACCGGTCAACTTCATCAGCGGATTGGCCCCGCCGCATTCTGCCTCCACCAGCTCCCGCATCGCCATGGCAACACAAGGATGAGGCAATCCCGATCAGGCCACCTGAGAACTGAGAGGAAAGCATCGATTCAGTTGGAGGGTTTCATCCGGACCGAAGTTATGAGTATAATGTTCACTTTGGGTTCCCAGTCATTGTAATGAGCGGCCATTTTAATTTATTTTATTTTATTTTTACCAACGACAACAAAGAGCTTAGTACGACCATTTAAGACCGTGTTTTCAGCGACTATTGCTTTTAACAGCTGAGAGGCCATGCGAGGCAAAATCTGTGCCCCAGTTATCGTTCGCCACATAACCAAGTTAAAGCTCCATCTGCTGTTTTCCGTGTCATTTCCTTGTTAGGCTCAAGCATGAATAATGAGGCTGCGATGGGCCAACACACGCACAAACACGCTCCGCCAGTTTCGCTTCTAACCGACTTTGTGCTTTGTTTTTCAAAGCTTTAATAGAACCATGTCATATTGAACGGATTCCCAGACCATAATATGCAACAGCGGCAACAAAACCAAACTTTTAAATAAATAAATAAATAAATAAATACAAAAACTCCGGCACAATTATGAATGGAGGCGTAAGTGCAGCAGGTTCACATCATAAAAAAAGTATGAACAAATGCCATGCTTTCACCCTGTAAAATGTGACTGACTTCGGGACAGTGCATTTCCCTGCGTCTCTTCTGTCTCCTCCAGTCTCTTACACATCATAGAATACAAAACTGGCCGTGACGAAACACCAGTCACTGATATGATTATCATATAAGAGGATTGTAACAAGATACACCGGACACTGCAGGTGTAATCTGATCAAATATAATATTTTTGTAGCAAACCATCTGCTTATATCCTTCCATTTTGTATGTATTGCACTTGTCCTCATCAGAGTCACGGGGTCACGATGTGAACTGGAGCCCACCTTGGACTGGCCGCCAGCCAGATGCAAGGGCACATAAGGAGACAAACAAACACTCACATTCACATTTATGGGACAATTTATGATCAAAGAGTCTTAATTTTGAGTGACACTTAAAATGGTCAAAATATTAGAAAATACCCTCAGCAATTTACAGCGCAATTCTAAAACACATTTAACTACAATTGTAAATATGGTGTTATGCAAACATCACAAAACTGAGCATTGTTACAGTTTATAAATTAAGCCTAGTTGTTCCGAAATAAATGTCCAGTGAGTGCCGTGTACTACAAATTATGCCAAGGTGACACCTGTTTACACACCATTTAAACATTAACTGTTATATTCTCGTTTTTGAATCAATAATTTACATTTGTTATATGTATGTTTAATAAATAACTAAAAAGCCATATGCACAACCAAATCAGAAGCAGAACGGTGGCGCTCATTACAGAGTTCATTGTCATATATCAAATGATTTAACATTGATCTTGATGCTAAGATTAACTATGCAATTGTCCAGAAAAAATAATCTTAATACTTGTGCATGAAACTGCTTATTATTGTAGTAGTAGTACTAGTAGAGCTCCAAACGCAGCATTTTTCCTAAACAGGTCGAAAACGGAACATAACAATAGCAAGCTAAATGTTAGCTCGCTAAGCTAACTAGCTACAACGCTAACGAGCCAAGACCAGCGGTGCGCATCAAGTCAGCTCGCCGCCGAAGACGCGCCGAGAAACGGATTTCGTGACGTACAACTCCCCGCCGACAGAAGGTGCTGCCGAGAGCTCACCACCGCTGTGCCCCCTTCTGCGATGCGTCCGCACGCTCTGTTGTTTTTCCCAGCTGAAGTTGACACCCTTAGACTGTCACCTGTCACGGGAACAGCCACTAAATCCTCCGGTTTGTGGTATGATACGAGCGTCTTTTTAGTCCCCCTTCCACCTCCATGACACACCGCACAGTTCAAGCTCGCTTAACCCAGAGAAGAAGCTCTTGTCTCTTGTTAAGGAACATCCGAACCGTATTCTCCAACGGATTTACGTACGTAAACCGGCGCACTAACTTTGCTGATAGTGTTCCGTCGAAATATTTGTCCTAAAATATCAAAGTTCAACGGTTGTTTGCCAGGAGGCAAAACAGGACGAAAATCAAATACTGCACGTTGAGATAAAAGTTTAACTCGTCGTGTTTAACTTTATCCAACCAAATAACGTGTCTTTCCGACTGTGTGAGACAGAAAACGATATCACGTGACCACACGATTCGAAAGATGTTGAAGTACAGAATTAATTTCAATAGTGAGCTTTTTATGTATTTTATGGATAGAAATGTTTGAACTGTGAGACGTGTGCAAGTGGAAAAAAAACAAGTACAGTACAGCTTTGTTAGCTGCCTGACCCTGAAAGTTTAAAAACCAGCCAATTTAAAATCGAATTTAATTTATATAATAACCACCCACAAAGAAAAATTTATGCCTTGATCAGCTAGACTGGGTGAAGCTCCAGTCACTATGAAGAGACGGCATGTTCTGAAGCACAGGCACAAACTGCCACATCCCTCACAGGTGCGATACCTCAGGTCAAAGCCAAAAGGTAAACAGGGCTGGATTACGTTTTTTGTTGGATGCACAGACATATTAGAATTAGCTTCTGTCTTTAGCTCCTGAAAAAACATATTTGATTGCTTGATGAAGGTGTTGAGGAAGTGGTACCTTTTCTTATTAATGTAATTGGTTCAGTGACAAAGAGGTGATAAACGTACCTGTTGAGCAAAAATGTTGCGAATTCTGTCACTTCGGAATCTACTCACTGCTTCTTTTTGCTACTTTTAGTCTAGTTCAGTTGTCACCAAATGAAGGTAGGGCGTTTTTTAAACATTTTCCAGCTGTGGATATTCAGCCACCGCTTCAGCCCATGCTAACGGGTCAGCACAAGGCACTCAAAAGTGTGCGTGGCGCCAGCTGAGCTCCCGCTGGTTAGGTAAGCTCTCCTCAGGCGCTGTTGCTGGACCTTGCAGTACGGGGAAGTGAGGAAAACAGAGCCACAAAGCACTCTCGCGAGAGGCCACCCGATTTCAAGGGACAACACGAAATGCATATTATTAAATCACGTGAAAATGACATTGAAAAAAAACCTAAGATGCACTCACATGCAAGATGTGAAAAAAAGGGGTTCTTGTGGAGACGTCATATATTGTTTTAATTACGATTTTTGTCACATTGTCCGCCAGTTTTCTGTCGATAACAATCCATCTCATCATCGGTGTATCGGTAATTTGAGGTAAAGTTCCAGTAGTGATCGTAATACAATAGAAGTTATTCAATTCAATGCTTACTCTCTTTTGTGACATCACCCCCCAAAAAAATACAAACAGGCTCTATTTTTATTTACGAACATTTTTTTTTTTAATAGTACTGCACATTGATAGGCTACACAGACGGACAGCAAGAGACACTGAGGTGGGAGGAGGGGGTGGGCATATTCGGGATGGGGAAGTGTCTGGAGGGCTGGGTGGGAAGCACAGGTTGTACCTTCACTGAAAAGAAAATATCAGATGGAAGCAGTAAAATAGAATAGTCATGGAAAAAGAGTGTGAAAGACAGCGATGCCACATTTATGTACAGTTGTCGGGATCACAACCAATGTGCCTCCCTTTGCTTTTTCTCTGTGATTCCTATATTGACAAATTCTTAAATTACAACATTATTACACACAAAAAGTAAGACACAGGCATCAAGCCAGATATCATCCTCACGTCAACTACTAGTATTATTTTCCTACTGTTTTCTTGATGCTGGAATAGGCGATGAACAAAAACAGGGAAATGACCATCTGCTCCCTATTCGAGTGTGCTGAAACATGGCTGCAATTATAATGATAAGAATTCATTCCAACAATAATAGTCATCAATAATATTTCTCAGTGTATGTACATAAAATTCATTACAATCAATAAAGTCAAAACTGCCCAAGCTGAGTTGACATTCCGGGGACAGCAGAGGGAGGATAGCGGTGAAGTGTGTGTGTGTGTGTGTGTGTGTGTGTGTGTGTGTGGTTTACAGACATTCCAGACGTCAATTTGAGAAGCATGAGAGCAGTGATTCCGAACCATGAGAGATCATCGTGAGTATTGCTGAAGATAGGAGCAGTTTGTGGTTGATTGATAAACTATCATGACCAGCTCAAGATGTAGGCGGAGGAGTAATGGGGCCACACGAATACTGTCCAATAGTATGATGAAAATGCTGCCACTTGCCTCTTGACTGGAACACGTAAAGGGAGCACGGGCTCCTATCGGACTTTTTCTGTTTCACTCACAGTTAAAATTAGACAAGCCCCTTCATGTTCCTTTTTGAAGATATTGAGTTGAGAATAATACAATACAATATATTAGCCAAACATTTGCAATATTATGAGAATGACGTTTATATTTTATGAAAACAGTGAAAGTTATGAGAATAGTGTCCAAATTTTTTTTTCAGAAAAAAAATTACAGGAACAAAGTAATTTTAACCACTTCCTAACCGAAGGCTTTTCGTCATTGTATTCTGACCATTCTCATAAACGTACAATTATTTTTTCCAACTATTTTGGCAGAATTCTCCAAACCATACGACACGATTGTGATCGTCTCCCTTCTTCTTTGGAGTGTGTCCCTATTTCTCCTCGGCTGATGAAAGTCTCGCAAAAAACAAAAAGTTCATCGCGGAATGTATCGAGGGGGGCTGGCAAAGTGCGAGGAGACAGCTTGTGCGCAGACCTCGTGGCTCGGGCCGAATAAGTTGTGCGTGTGTGTCGGCATGTGGAGAGCGGGGCCTTTGCCTTCTCATTCGAGTAAGGGTCCCATTGTGTATTCAAGAACAAAAGAAAATACAATCAAGTGTTGTTTTTCAGCCTCATTCATCCAGCATCACACTATACAGACACGTTGTTGTTGTTGTTATTATGATTATGTGACGTGGAACGAGCGCACCACAAATCGTTTGCGTGGCTCAGGCAGATCAATTACATGGAGTGTATACATTGTGCCGCTGAACATCGAAGTGGAGGACCGACCGCCCGCCGTCACGTATGGCTGCGTATTACATCGAATGTGTTGTGCGTCATGTTTTTTTTTTTTTTTTTTTTTTTTTTTGCAGGTATACATTCCATACATGACGGTAAAAGTGTTGGTTTCCGTGAGAACCGGTGCAGGCGGGGTTTTACATGCAGCTCAGTAGCGACGGGCGTTGCCGTCCCGGACCTCCTTCTTGAAAATGATCCGCTGGTCGTCGTTGGCGTTGTCGGGCGACTCGGCCACGTCCTCCTCCTCTTCTTCTTCCTCCTCCTCCTCCTCACCATCTCCCGCCGTGTCAGCGGACATGCCCAGGCGAGACTCGTAGGACTGGGGTGACAGCAGAGGTGGCAAAAGTGAAAAAAAAACCCATACATTTAATGAAGAATTTACAAAATATTTTGAATTAAGTCTTTTGGTTTGTGAATGCTTTTAAATGTTGTACTTTTAATTTTAAGTCTGTGAAGCACATTGCGTTAGCGTGTGTATGAAACGAGCTACATAAATAAAGCCGCTTTGCCTTGCCCAAGGGACAATAAAGTACTTTCACTTCCCGAGACTGGTCAACCCCACGTGACGGACGACTTTACCTCCATGGGGTTGACGATGATGGTGAGCGCGGAGTCGTCCCACTGGCCGCTGCCTTCCTTGGCCGCCTGGCGGGCCTCCTCGCTCCGGCGGTGGATGGAGCGGATCCGGTAAATGCCCAGGATCACCATGATGACCAGAAAAGCCACGCACACCATGATGATGATGGTGGCGGCCCCGGGGACAACTGACAAACAAGATGGATAATCACACTCAGGCTCTGAAGGGGTATCGGATGTAGACACTGATCTTGTTGAACACAACTGACCACAACATTATGACCACTCCCACAATCTAAATATGATAATCTAGTTAGAAAAAAATGCCTTTGTAAACATAACAATGCTCCACTGTGATCGACACTGTCAGGGAGAGATTAATGAAACAATACAGGGAGGGACTCCTCAGTTGTGGCATCATCCCCCAATATTCCACTCCTGAATATATTCCCCCATCGCAACCCTTAGCATAATCTACAAAGGCAAATGATTCAATCTGACGAGTCACCTGAGTTGCGATGTAGACTGGGCAAGGCGTGTCCACCGAGCTCGCCTGCGTGTTGATGGAGAAACTGTTGCTGGGAGGCCATCAAGTGGGATGGGTGATACATGCTGTCCAAGGAGTGGAGGAAGTTGACCTAAGAGAGGAAAGAACAAATTGGCTAATGGACGCACCCAAAAGGACGAGGATCTTCGACAAAAGGTTTCCTTTGAGCTCTCCGCACCTCCAGAGTCAACTCATTGCTGGTGTATCTGCCGTTCATCTCGGAGCAGGACAGACGGAAGCGCCGCTCGAAGCGGGACGAGCTCCCGGACAGTCGGTAGCGGACTGAGCGAAGGACGTCCTCGTATACGGAGATGGATTCAGCACCTGAAGGTCCAGAGGAAAAAGTAGAAGGGGTGTGGGTCAATGGGTAAAAACACCCCAGATAGCATCATGCCCCAAGTGGACCCGGAAAAGAACGGGATCTTCGGGGAAGTGAACTTGCGATATAAAAGCAGAAAGAACGAACTCCTTGTTGACTCAGCGATCCCTTTCAAATATCCAAATGAGCATTTTTGCGCATGGGAACATTGTCACTGACTCCAACCAGTTTTGAAATGAATCCAACTGAGAGATGGTCTCATTTCAAGTCTTGCAAGTGGTGCGCTTAACCTGTGCGATGTCACATTACCTTCTCTGGATTGAGAGAGGCTCCAGCAGACCTGGATTAGAGGTTGAACAGAAACTGAAGTGGATCCACTTGTCATGTGAACGTTGAAATGATTTAGCCAGCCTTTCTGTGGGTTTACTTCTATGGTGTTTCATCTTGATCCATATTTTTTTGGGGAGACGTGAACCCACCAACCAAATTCAGACTGGTCCGAAATGAGCAGAATAGTCTCATTTTAGTTTGCTAGTTTTTGAAGTGGTTCGCTTAACCTGCGCAATGTGAACACGCCGTACTCCAGATTTCGCTTTGCCTTATAATTCTTCAGTATTGCTATTTTGAAACAAATGTGGTCCTAAACATGAATGAGATCCAATACCGGTAATTGTAATTCCCTTTCTACTGGTTTACGCTTGAAGGCGTTTTCACTTTGATCTCCTTCAATCACCCAAACAACTCAAAGAAACAAATTCAGATTTTTGTCATGTATGTGAACACTTCAGCTGAATTCAGGGCCGCTTCAAAAGAGATCTACATCTCACTTTGTCTTGTAATGCAAGAACCAAAGTCGAACAGAGCACCAAAGTGGATCCCTTTGCAATATGAATGCAAAAATGGCCCATCAAAAATGGTTTCAAAAGACGTCGATTGTTTGAATGACCTGTGATGGCGATGTAAGCCGTCGTGTTGATGATATCCAAGCCCCGCTCTCGCACGACATCCATATCGACCAGAAGCTCCTCCCGCTCCAGATCTAGCTCCTCGCCCAGAGGTTGAACCTCACAGCCGTCCAAAGTGTGTGCCACGGCATCGGACATCAGCGCTGCAAAATTGATGACGATTACAAAAGCCCTGTTTCAACATCAAGTACGGTTTGGTTCAGTTTGGTTCTGTTCCCATGTCGTCCCACTTTCCAACACAATTTTGTTCGGGTACGAGCCACACGTTGGCAACAGAAACAAATGTATCCGACCCCAAACGGAACCATAATGACTGATTCACTCCACAGATGATTGTCTGTTGGACTCACCTCCACCTTCCATCCCCTGCGCAGCCGTGTTGACAGCATGAGTCAGCGAACAGACGATCCGTAACTCGGGGAATAAGGCGACGCCCCGGGTGGCCTCGAACTCGGGAGCGGGGCGAGCCAGATGCGGGCCGACCCCGGACAGAGAGATCTGAGGAGCATCCGGCTGGAGGACCACCAGGTAACCTTCCAGCGGCTTCAGGGACAGACAGCTCTCCTCACTGAAACATCTGCAAGGAGGCGAGAAGCAGACCGTAGGGCCAAAAAGAGCTGAAACGCAAAGCGAAAAAAGGGCTGCCGTGCCAGATTTTGATGACCATCCCTACTTCTTTAGCCAGCAGATACATTTCACCTGAATCAAAAGCCCCTTGTGGTGTTGCTGCCAAGCTGTGGCCTCCATTTTGCCTCAGTTCTAAGAGAAATGATTGGCAAAATGCTTGAGAAATAATCAGCTCGCTCATTGACTTTCATGATCCTCCTTACTTCTTTAGCCAGCAAATAAGTTGGACTTGAATGAACAAGCTGCCTCATACCAAACTCCTTTTTTGCCACCAACAAGTATGAGTTGACTAACTGATTCTTATGGCCACACCCACTTCTCCAGCCAGCAAATCAGTTGAGCCTGAATCAACAGTGCAATGCATCCCCCCAGCCCCCTCCGCCACCTCTTCGAAATCTCACTGACAAAATATTGAGGAAAAGACTCACTGACTCATTGAGTTTTAAGCGCATTCGTTATCAAAATGGTCCTAATCATTCACGCTTCCTTAGCCAGCAAATGGGTTCAGCCTGAATCAACAACACTCCATTTTTTTCCTCCATCTCAGCAAAATGTCTTGGAAATCGCTCATGAACAAATAAATTAAATGTTCTGCCCATCCACAGTCAAATAGCCGCAATCCTTTCCACTTTTTGAGGGGGCACATCGCTCAAAACTGACTCAACAGCTCCCTCTGCTGATTGCTGCGAACTAGCACATACAGATCAATATCGTCGTTGATTCCAGGAGACGCACGCTCTTGTTGTCAAATACTTGGAGCATAAAATGTTGTCATACGAATGCCAGCTATTTATTCATTTGCGTTACACAAGTGGGCACGGTGGTACTGTATTGGAGTGTGGATTAAGCACAGCGCGTGTGAATGCGTGCGTTACATTTCCACTACCAGAGTGAGCAGCTGCTTCTATCGGCTTCTACAGAAGGGCTTGCTGTTCCGCCATCTGGGTGACTTCCTGGCCGCAAATCAATCTAATCTTCACGCACGCAATAAAATGAGAAGGGGGGTGGGTGGCTGATATCAAGAAAAAAGAAAAGCCACGGCTCACTTGAGCTGAAGCTAAAACAATCTCGCCGTGACCTTGAATCGCTGGGACGGAAGCCTTCCAGCACAAACGTGTGGCCTGGAAATCATCCATCCATGTTCTAGAGGGCGCGCCCTCATTAGGCTCCCGAGTGAGCTGGAGCCTACGCCAACTGACGCAGGCCGCCCCGGACTGGTCGCCAGCCAATCGCAAGGGAGCTCATTTTGAGTTGAGAGAACAATGCAATCTGCGCCTTGAGTTTGATGTGATCTTCCTTGTCAGCAGCCTACTTTTTTCCCCCCTGGCTCTCTCTCGAGCTGCGGCATAAATATAAATGTAAATACGCAGCTCACCGCATCCATGCACTGGACTGCACTAATCTGAAGGGGAATTAATATTTTACCAGCTAAAAGAGACGGACGGCTAAAGCCAGAGAGAAAGTTGTGTCGGTGTGGAGCAGGCTGGAGCGCTGACCAAGAGACAAAAGATTGCCAGCGTTTTACTGGACAGTTTAGTGATTTCGCCACCCGACGAAAGGCGCTGATGACACTGGTCAACACAGTGATAATGGGTTTTTTTCCACCAAAGATGGAACCAGATACGTGAGATGTGCAAAAAGAGAAAAAAAAAAAAAAATGACAGTTAAGCAAATATTTAGTATTCATGATTCAAGTTCGGAATGACTGTCGGTTGATTATTTTATTTACTTTTTTATTCACAAATTGGATGGAATTAATATTGTTCAGTCTTGTCCCGCACATTCAAAAAAGTGTTTCCAAATCCATGACACGTGTGCGAAGGGACTTGGCTAAATCATGTCACTGTTTGCATCAACAGTTATCCAGCACGAGTGCAAGATGCAGGTAGCTAGCTCACTATGCCTACACGCCGAAAACGCACCTTCCCTTCCGATAGCGGTGTGACTGCTTTAAAGTGCCTTGTTGCGCAGGGAGAGAGATTTTCGTTCTCGGCTTGGGAGCCAGCGCGTGAACTGGGGCTCCTTTAGAGTGCCTCATTGTGAGTGCACGTACGACATGGGAAGGAGCAGGGAGAGGGAATTTTATTTATTTTTGGAACAAGTCCACCTTCACAGCTGGAATTTTAGTCTGACGTGACCGCTTTAGAGCGCCTTGCTCTCACCGCGCGACAACCCGGTCAGCTATCTTCCGGCCACGAAGGCTTAAAGCGGATTTATTTTTGCTGCTCAAACATGAACCGTCGTTATGTGTAGGCATGAGATTGACAGTTGAGCCGGGCGTCTTTTTTGCGCATTCTAGCTCTTTAAGGCCAAATTTGAAATCTGCTTGATGAAAGAAACAGTCCCTTTGCTAATATAGTTTACGTTACCTTTGGCAGCTACATTGATTTTAAAGGCCCCCGGGCACACTGGCAACAGATAGAGGCTGAAATCTGATTGGACGGGAAAAAAAAAATGTACAGCCAAGCGAAACTCTACAATACAAAGAGAATACAACTTCATGGAGCAAATATAATTTAGGTAGCGAATGTTATGCCGTCGGCCCGGTGGGCCAGTGTTTAGCGGGTCGACCTCACAGTGCAGAGGTACCAGGTTCAATTCTCGCTCCGGCCTCCCTGTGTGCCTGCGTGGGTTTTCTCCGGGTACTCCAGTTTCCTCCCACATTCCCAAAACATGCGTGGCAGGCTGATTGAACACTCGAAATTGTCCCTAGGTGTAAGTGTGAGCGCAGATGGTTGTTTGTCTGTGTGTGCCCTGCGATTGGCTGGCAACCGGTTCAGGGTGTCCCCAGCCTATTGCCCGAAGACAGCTGGGATAGGCTCCAGCACGCTCCACGACCCTTGCAAGGATAAAGCGGATCAGAAAATGGATGGATGGATGGATGGCTGGATGGATGGATGGATGTTATTCCGTGCCAGAATTGTTCATCATGGCCAGTTGTGTTCAATACAAAAAACATTTACCTCCCACTTCCAGCTTCTATTGCTCACACGTTGTTTCCTACTGCAATGCTGAAAGTGCTCAGTATTCACAAGAGCTTCTTTGCACGATTTGAAAAGGTGATGCCGTGGCCATCGGCTGCTGCCAATTGAATTACCCGGCTTTGCGGAAGCTGAATAAATGAGCGTGCGTGCGACGCTGCGGCTTGCCAAGAAGAGCGCAGGTGACTTTTGGGCTGAAGCGAGCAAACGGGAGATAAGATACTTGCTTATCTCCACACGATTATTCCTCCTTATCAGCGGCGAGGCAAGGTTCATGTTTGATGTGCTCAATGTCGAAGGGAGAGAAGGAGGAGGCGTTCACAGGCCCTCGGAGTGACACGGTATGCGACAACTATAAAACATTTCACTTTCACGGTTTACATCATGAAGGCGCATCCCCTCAGCTTGACGTCATTGTCAAGTCTTTTCCAGAAACTTGGCAGCTGCTCTCCATTTCTGGCCCGAGTGCGTTTGTGCAAAGGAAATAAGTCCGTTCACATCGCTGTTACGCCAGTGCGTGAATGTTTGGCAGTGATAAGATGCGGCGAGGGAGCTGTGTAGGTACCTGAGAGAGGTGGTAAGTTTAAGGGGTCGCACTCCAGGCGTGGCGAAGCGAAGGGAGTTCCGGTAGGTCACCTGCTGCACGGCGCGGTTGAAACTCTCAATGTCATCCCCCTCCAGCACTAATACTGACTGGCTAGGGTTCACGTGCACCTGAAAACATCAAATGGCAGGGGAGGAAATTGCTTCAAAGCAAGCCACACGCTCCGCACTGCTCCTGAGTGCGCCGGCCAACAGAGCATTTTCATGATCAACAACAGTCCTATGATATTTCTGCGATAAATGTTGCTTTTTCTTTTCCAAAACAATGCGTCATTGAAATGCACTCATTCAAATTCCCAAAAATTGTAATCAATTGAATTGTAAAAATCAAATCGTCCGAATAACACAAACATTTTACACATGTAAAATACACACACACACACACACACACACACACACACACACACACACACACACACTTAAATTTAAAATAATTCTAAACATGAGAACGATTGATTTTATATTTTAAAATAAACTCTCTATTTCAACACGCCATCCTCCATAACCCTGCTTATTTACTTGCTGTCAGATTGTTATGAGGCCTAGTAGGATTCCCTGAGGCGTTACCTTCATCCCGGATCCCAACGTCTCCAGGTCTCCGAAGTCCAGACCCTCCCTGCAGGCGTACAGGCACTCCACCACGCTGTGAGGCTCCACGCTGCCAGGACGCACCGTCACTCCGGACAACAGGCCGTGGTAACCGCCGGCATATTTCACTGACATCACACAAAAATGCATCACCACCAAACCAACCCACACCAGGGAGCATATGAGAGACTCAAAATTACCTCTGTCTCACACTTGCAACTGAAACGCTCTCATGCAGTTTTTTTCCTCTGCTCACACACATTACTGAATATTTTTGCTCATATACACTGCTAAAAACGCATGGCATGCGAAAGGATTTCAGTTGTGCGTGTGAGAGGTAACCCTGAATGGCGTCCCTGACGGTCCATCGAATCTTTTCTTTACCTTGTGGGATGCTGTTGTTCACTATTTCCCTCTGCTTGTCCTCCGACTCTGCAGCAAATAGCAATGGGGGCAAGAGAAAAAAGAAACAAACACTCATCAAAATGTAGGAAGACGATGCCAGGCGACGCCTGAACGGGCCACAGAGTGACAGGAAGGAATGGAAAAAATGAACAATGCAGAAACAAAAAATGCAGACAATCACATGCACCATTTACGTGCACAGGATTGAAATTCAAGAAGAAGCCAAAGTATAAATCTGCTCCTTTTGAAAATGGAAATGGGGGGTAATGTGTCAAAAGATTATTATAATAGCAAATCAATTTTCCTCATTCAAATGAATTAAAATGCCATCAATCTGTTCCAGATGCGCTAAAAAAATGCAATGCAATGAATTTTTTTTAATCAAAGAAAAATACTGTATTGTATACATACTGTATATACATTGTACCGGTGTATTTGTTATTTTCGTTTTGTTTTTTGTACACACCCAAAATTCCATGTCCAAAGTGATTCGTTCTTGTTTTGATGTGACGCAAGGAACACACCAACCTGTCTTATTAGATCTGAAAAGTGTCTTTTGTCGAAATATATGAGGGACTTTGCCAGCCAATCACAAGCACAGACGAGAATTTACACTTTTCATCTATGGCCAATTTTATCAGCCTTAACATGTCTGTTTTTTAAATAATTGCCATCAGTGTTTAAAAGACTGTTGTGAAAATGCGCCCACTGGCTGACTGAAGTGGTTTAACTCGACACTGAGGAACTAACTTTGGCATGCTTTCCTTCCAACTTTGAAGTTTCCCAAAACACCATCTTCACATCTTCATCTTATCAAGAGGCTACCACCAGCCGCTTCCACACTGTTTGTTTTTCTGTCTTACTAATTAGCAGTCATAGATTCTGAGATTTTAGCGCAGTGCTGCTTAAAAGAGGTTCTGATAGCTGCCTGCCCATCGTGCTGCTCCGCCAAGCTAAATAATTGATGACTGCGTTATATTATTAGCCCTCAAAGACGCAAAAACACATCAGCTCAATCATAAGCGAGCAAAAGCATGTAAAACCTCCCGCGGGAGCAGGCCAGCGTGCTTGATGAAAAGTTCCGACGCCGTGATTTACGTCCGCGGTCCCCAACCGCTGTGCCGCAACTTGGCCACACGATGAGATTGACGAATAAATATTTGATTGATCATCTGAGTCTGAATTTGGGAAGTTTCACCCTGGCCGGCTGCAAAATGAATTTTCATTCATCGGCGGGGCGGCTCTCACCCCAGCAGGCGCCGATGAACATCCTCTGACGGGGGGCCGGGTTGGGCAGGGCGCCGTTGTCGTGGATGAGAGCGGGGTCAAAGGTCACGCCGTCCACGTACAGGGTCACTGAAGGGAACTGCACGCTGAGTGACAGGTGGTGCCACTCGCTGTCGCACACCTGGCGAACACACGGCATAATCAATCAGTCGTTCGGGATGACACGGAGTCGATATTTCATCGCTAGCAAACCGCCAACAGCTGTTGATTTTTTTTTTTAAACACCGTAGGGGGGCTGTTAAGTACAGTATTATGATCAATTAGATTATTTATTTCGCATGTGTCAAACGCAAGGCCCGGGGGCCAGATCCGGTCCGTCACATCCTTTTAGGTGGCCCGCGAAAGCAAATCAAACACGGCAACTTCCATGATGCTTGCTAAAATATGTACAAAAATTAGTTTTGACACCACTGATTTATTTATACATTCATTGACATCTTATTGGTATAAAAATAAATAAATAAATAAATAAAATAGTTATTCGACTTTTGAACATGATTATTATTTAATAAATAAATACATACATTTACCTGCTGTCCAAGGTTTTGCATTATCGGGTATCAAATTTATCTATGATATTATAATTTCCTTATTAGTTCAAATATCAATTGAATTTAAATGGACAATTTCCATCTGTCCATTTTCTTGTCCGCGTTATCCTCAGGAGGGTTGCGGGCATGCCGGCGCCTACCCCAGCTGTCTTCGGGCAGTATCCCATCTTTACGAGTCCCAGTCAAGAGACGAGCAGCGGCAGCACCATGACATGGCATTACAACTGGTGTCCAGTGTTTATTACTTTTAAAATGTGCCATACTTTTAACGGTCAAGTACTAATCAAATAATGAATAGATCCTCTGAAATGATCGGCAATGACGTTTGTCGTCGGTATAGAGGGTGGGGGAGTAGAAGGTCACAAGCTATCAGACAAAGACAAAAGGATCTGAACAAATCTTATTTTATCTCCGTATCAGCTTGAATGTAATCTTCCTCAATCTGTCTGGGGCGGGCAGCCTCAGTCAAATCACAATCTCCCACCAGCGCCGCACCAGTAAACCCTTCACTCTCCCACCCTGTCCAGGCAGGCGGACATGTTGGCCTTATGCGCATGTTTGCTGTGTGCGTGACCATTAACCCAACAGTTTGATGGGAACATGAAGAGTTGATCCCCCCCCCACACACACACACACACACACACACACACACAAGACCATACGGCTCAGCCAGTACCTGCTCCAGTTTCCACAAGAACTTGACGGGCCGTGCAGCCGAGACGTCGGGCCAGTAGAAGAGAGAAAGGCGGCAGCCGTGCACGGAGAGTGAATAGTGAGAGAACGAGTCATCTGAGGAGAAGAAGACGCAATTAATTGGAACTTTTAAACTGACTTTTCTACGGATTTCTTACATTTCATTTGAATCTCTCTTTTTAGGGGCCAATATTCAAACAGTATTCACACGGCAGCCATGATGCTTGTGCAGTGTCTGTTTTTTTTTGTTTTTTTGTTTGTTTTTTTACCGCAGCGAAGTGTGTGAAGGTTAAGTGGCTCCCTCAAGAGCAACTTGCCCACTGAGGCCACAAACAAGCACGCGCTGAACAACGGTGGTGATAATTCACTGGAGGTTTGCGCTCTGAAGTAACGTCCAAGAAAGGCCAATTTGCCAACAACAATGTCAAAAATCCATCTTGAGGAGCTTCAAACTTTGGACCATTCTGCTTTCAGCAGTTGATTTTGCGCTAAAATATCGCTTTCGGTAGGTATAAAAAGCAGGATTGAAGGGCTTGCCGTTCAGCGTGATCATCAACAAAAACTCAGTTGATCTGAAATACTGTACTTCCCGTTGACAATCTTATTCTTAAGTCAAATTGATAGTGTCAGACTAGTGTACGCCCATCTAGTGGCTGAGAGTTGAATTACATTCAAAATCAACATTATGCAGAACAAAATCCCCACCTCCCAAAAATATGAATAACAGTAGGACCACGGTACCGGTTACTCAGTTCAACACGTTCAAAAATCTGTGGGAACATGTTTTCATATCATAAAAGTCGCTAGCTCATGTTGCTTATTTCTCTTCGATAAAACGGTCACATTTTGGGATAATGGGACACATTTATGTCCACTCTGTTCCGTCATTTATAGGATGTTGGAAATGAAAACATGGTATTGATCCAAATTAGGATTATTTCTGTGTCATTGTAAGGTACAGTAGTTCAAATGATGCGATTGATCATAACTCACCGTTCTTGACAGTGCTACACACAATGGTCTCCTCTTCCTTGCGACTCGTTTTCGACTGAGCAGCAGCCGGCTGGACGTTGGTGCCCCACCTACGCATCCACAGCTGCAGGGTGAAATGGTCGCCGGACAGCCCCGTGACAACCGTGTCCGGCACCACCGCCACGTGGTTGGACCCGTTGAAGGAGAACACCAGAGAGGAATCCGAGGAAGGTAGAGTGGGAAGCGCTGACGTCCAGTTGGCTGCGGGCGATGGAGGTGGGAGGAGGTCGACCTCGCCTCGAACAGCGCCTGGTTAAGGTGGAGCCAACAAATCAGTCAACACAAGGTGGGGAACTTGAGTCACATGACTTGACTCGAGTCAGATTTCAGTCGCCGATTTCATCTCACTATAAAACCCCAAAGCTAGGTTTTTTTAACTTCACGGTTAAGACAACCAATAACTAGTCAAACATTAACTCAGCTTCATGTCAATAATGCGTTTAATTAAGAAGATAAGAAACAATAAAGAAAAGTGATTTGATTGTGAATGTGTCAGTACAGCTAACTAACTCAATTACAGATCGCAGTAATGCTGCATGCTAATAGTGAAAAGTAGCTCATGTATGAATACTGTACATTGTGGCTGAGTATGTCAGAGAAATAACAACTACAACATTAAACGTCACCGTCACGATAAGACCCACAAAGACAGGAAAGCAATGTTAACTTCCCAACCTAAGTGTAACGAACTGATCGCCAATTAACCAAGGTCACTTATGCGTTTAATGTGAAGAAAATGAAGCAATAGACAATCAAGACTGGCTTTGGAACCTTGAAGAAAAATGATGTAACTGTGAATGTTTTTCTGAGTACAGCTAACTAACGCAAGTAGCTACGAATAGCATTGATATTACAACGCAATGGAGACGAGTAAAAAGTGGCTAATGTGATCATATACTGTATGTTTGTCGTGACGAAGTGAATGATGCATGATGATGAGAGACATAATAGCTATGAAATCTAACTTTATTGTCATGATAAAGCCACAAGGCTAGGTAAGCTTTGTTAACTTCAGTTTGGCTAACTAATAGCTCGTGAAACATTCACCACCCATACGCTTCATGTCGGTTATGCATTTAGTTGGAAAGATAATAAAGTAATAGACGATAGAATAATTTAAAAAATGATTTTATGGATGTCTTGGTACAGGTAGCGCAAGTACATAAAGTGTTGGCGCTACATGCTTAATGATGAGTGAAAAGTGGCTAATGTGCTGAGGCTATCGGACTTGTTCAACCCAAGCAATAACTTGACTTGCTTTAAATTTAACAGGGACTCGATTTGACTTACTTGATTTTTGTCACAGTAGCTTGAGACGTACTCGGAACTTGAAAGGTAAGACTTGAGACTTTCTTATGACTGCCACAGACAGTATGTCAGTTTAGACATACGCACCGCAAAGTCGCCGCACGGACCGGTCAGAGTAGCTGTCTCGGTCGCAGCCCTTTCCGATGTGGCCTGTCTGAAGCTCTACAGTGGCCTGGATGTTCCAGACGGTCTCCTCGCAAGTCTCCAAATGCAAGCTGGGGAAGAGCGGGATGCTACCCGAGCCAGGTGTGTACTCCACACGCTTGGTCCAACCTGAAACACAATCCAATCAGCGATGCTGACTCAGGGCTAATCGCTTAGGTGAAATTGTTGAAAATAATGAAATGCTGACTTTCAGGAAAAAAAAAACAAAAAACAATTCTGTGAGGCGAATTTGAAAAAAGAACCGGTCCCACTGCTCATATAATTTCCGTCAGCCAGCACGGCTGATTCTGACATTCCCTGGGCAGATTAGATTGACAGGGCAGTGCTTAAAGTCTGAAATCTGACTGGCTGAAAAAAAAAATGTAATCCACATAGACGTACTGGAAGCAATGCAGACCAAAGAAATACAGTTTCATTGAACTAATAATAGAATTTGAATTGTGCAGGTCAGTCCTTCTGATAGTGTTAAGGGAGCAGAGGACCTGACTGCCCACTTCTGTAAGAATGACCTGGAATGATGATGAAAACAGCCGCATTTCTAAAAACTTGCTATTTGTCAGCCTCTGCCGCCTTCAACGCAAACTGACTCACATCGCCAACCAGCCCACATCGATCCCAACCCACGGTGATGTTATCCACAGCTGAAGATGACGCAAAAGGGGCGAGTGAGCAAGTTACCCATCCAGCCGGGCCTGCAGGACGGCTTGACCGTGACCACCACCTGAGCGTCGGCCTGAGCGCGGTTCTTGCCGCAGTCGAAAGCCGTCACCCAGAAGGTGTGAACGTGCTGACGCTTGGAGTCCAGCGGCTCCGTGTTCTTTATGTTACCTAGGCGATGCAAAGAGTGGGACAAAAAAAGAAAGATGATAATGAGGAAAAGAAGAAAGCGCAGACCTCCCTCCTTGACACGCAACACTTGCCCATTCTTAAATAACAGGCTTTTGCTGCGTGAAAAGATCAAAAGAAGTGATGTTCACGTGAAATGCTGTAACGTGATGGAACAGGGCACAAAAGAAGAACAGCGGCATCGGAACACGGGGTCTCTGGCCACCCAGCAAATTGTGCAGAGTCACAGTGAGGTAGCCATCCTTCCTTCTCCCTGCTTTGTACAAAAACAGCAGGCGCTCACTGTTCTGTCAGTCAACCAGCTGGGCGGCGGTTGCGCTAACGAGAAAAAGGACGTGAGGGAATAGACGGAGAGAGCACCTGAACAGCTGCTGCGGTGAAATTCACAACAATAGTCCGCCCACGCTAAGTCTATTTTCACAGTTGTGGCTTAATACCTGGCAGGGGAAGGAAGACGATGCAATTGATTGAAATATTTTCAATTAAACAGCCTCGTGGATGTGGCGAGCATATTCCATTTATTTTCATTGGCCAATGGGGCAGTTACGATCAATACTTTTGGACGCAAAATGTCTGAGACGCGACTCCAGAGATCTGATTTGTTTGTCTCACCATCGTTGTCAATAGCAAAGGGCACGTTGGGAGTGATGATGTCGTAGAAACAAATCTGGCTGTACTGTGGGGAGCAGTCGGCATCGAGAGCCTCCGCACGCACGATGCGGTCAAAGAGCCGCCCCTCTGGGACTGAGGCCTCGTAGCGACGCTCCACGAACACGGGGGAAAACTCGTTGACATCGTTGACCCGCACGTGTACGGTGGCCCTGACGAGGCAAGGAGCGTTGTTAGAAGGAAAGGGGGCGGGGCCGGACGTGCGTCGGCTCTCAGCATGATCGCACTCACTTGTGGGATTTCTTGCTGTTGACGCCGTCCGGCCCCTCGCCGCAGTCGTAGGCCTGGATGGTAAAGCTGTGCTCCCGCTGGCTCTCGCAGTCCAGCGGCTCCTTGGAACGCACAAGACCCTCGCCGGTGGAGCGGTCCAGGACCACTGCTTCAAACTGCACCGAACCGGAACCCGAGGGGCCATTGTGGACCCGGAAACCACAAATTTCACCTGAGAATGGGTGGGAGCACAATGAAGTAAATAAGGTATAATGCGAAAGAATGAGGCTGTCTTCGATATAGAACAGAATGAGCTCGACACGCAATCCAAACGACTGGAATATCGGATCCAAGTTCTCTCTCTTTGTGAGTGATACAAACCTATTTCATTTTCTCAATTAACATTGGAGCCCACCACAGTTATTTCAGGACCCAGGATGCACGCATGATCGAGCGACTGACTGCTGCTGCCAGGACAGCTTCAATTACACTACGCTGCACTAAAAATAGACGCCTCGCCTAGCAAATTCATACATCCTAAAACGGGGATGGTGGAAATACAGCAATGCGATGACGGGGTATTGTGATGTCTAACGATAAATTAAGTGCAATCAAGAATCTATTCATTGGCGTGAGTAGTGCTGGGCGTTACCGGCGTAGTGGAGCGGAGCGTCTTTATCCAAAGCGAAGAGCGGCGGGTTGAGAAGGACCGTGTTGTCGTTCTCCATCACAATGCCCTGGTACTCCGTCTCGATCCATGGCTTGTGCTTATTGGCTGTAAAGACCAAACAAGCAATATGTAATATATTACAAGCAGAATACAGTGGCACCTTACGAGTTCATGCTTGTGAATGTTCTCTTTCATCCAAGTCATTCCATCCCAGTCCATTCTGACGGCATTTTACAGTATACTTAACAGTAGTTTTCAAGTTGCAGGGATTTTACTTTACGCTGACCAAAGTAATGAAAAGGAGGCATTTTTTTGTGGGGATGGAAGACAAAGCGGGTTACTATTTGAGGAAATACGGTACACTGACTCAGCCCGCTTCACTTCTCCTTGTCCGGTTTCCGTCTCGTAGTACAAATCCCCGATGAAACGTCCACTTTTTAATCACACACTCATCTCTGGCACCGCCATCAATCAGCCCGCCTGAGCTCCACAATATCCTACTGAAAGGACAAAAACCGCCCCGGGTTTTCTGAGAATAATAACCTTTTAATTGCCAATTCATTATTCATCCTTGTGCAGGATGTTCAGCGCGAAAGGATCAAAGGCCAAGTTAATGAGAAGAAGCGGGGATTGTTCCGCGCCGTGGCAAAGCCAAGCCGTCTCCTCCCTGTCTTTGCCTTTTTCGTCCCGCAGCTCTTTGGAAATCAGGCGCACAGAAACGCTCGTCTGGAAAAAGAAGCTATCCACATGTCAACTCTTTAGACTAACTATCAATCTAGCTATTTTACCTAGCCAACTTACCTTCCTACTTCGAAGGTTGCGATTTGGAGAGGGAAAAAAAAACACCGTTCCAAAATTCGCCTTTTGTCTCTGCGCACGTACTTTTCAGTTTGCCAGACATTGAACGTGGCCTAAACGCTAATCTTTATCATACCACCGTCGGGGTTTCACGAAATAAAACGCGCACATAGCTCGCTTACCCGACACCCTCAGAATAAAAACAGGAACAAACCCAAGTTATTATTGAGTTCCTGGCTTGTTCTTTAGTTGATCACTTCCAGTTTCTGATTGGCTGGCGAACAGCCAATCGGAGTGTTCATTTTGTCACTGACGGCCGACGCCATTTTTCCACGTTGAATCAAGCGAAAACGGCTCACCGATCGACGGCTCATTCATTCTAAGAAGCACAATGACGGAAATGACAGGCTTAATAAATTAATGCATTCGTGTGGACGATTTCAATTGTTTTATTACAGTTTCACTCAGTGAACCAGTAACATCTTTTAATGGAGGGGATATATTTTGCGAATAAATAGCAACAACAAGCACAAAACACAGCACCAACAAAAACATACACAGTTAATTACACTGTATTGTACGCATATATTTTTTAAAAATCGTAATTACGTTATTTTCCAAAATTGTTCAGCCCGAATAAACCACTTACCTTGCGTCCCTACCTCTATTTTCCACACCTAATGACAGTACCTAGCCTTCCCACTCACCTACCATAGCAACCTAATTAACCACTCTCGCAATTTTTCCCATACCAAGCTACCTTCTCTCCCCGACCTTCCTACTTGCCTCACCCACCCCCATCACTACCTATACCTCCTACCTCACCGACATCTGTAGAGCTACTCCTCTACACAGCAACATACCTTAACTACATGCTACCAAACTAGCTAGCTACCAAAATGTTTAGCACACTCCAATCGCACCCCGTCTGGCATCCAAGAATTGTAATTGCTCACGTCTCCAGCGAATGACAAACAGTAGATTGACTCTCTCACGCTGCTTAATTAGTTCAACAAAATATTAGGAACGGCTCAGTGTTATACAGCGCAAACAACAAGCGCAATAATAAACACATTTGCTAAATGTTACATCAAAAATAAGCATGACTTCCTGAGTAGGTTCATCCACCTATCCATTTTCAACACCGCTTATCCTGAAGTGGGTCACGGGAGTTGCTGGAACCCATCCCAGTTCACTTTGGGTAAAAGGCGGACAAACCCCTGAACTGGTCGCCAGTCGTTCACAGGGCACATATCTGTACACACCCACATTCACAGAGTGGGAATGGATCCCACATTGCTTCGACGCAAGTGAGCCGAGTGTACCACCATCAGCGACTCGCTTCGTAAATTCTTGTACTGGATATGATTAGATTGCATACGGTAGCAATGTGTATGTATGCAGTACTTCTTGTTTAAAATCCCGCTGGGGACTAAATGAAGGCACAATTAACCAGTCCGGCCGCGTCTGCTCCTCCATATCCACGCTCTCTTTTTTGGGTTATTTATCTCCCTCAGCGTCACGCCTCCACCCTCCTCCTTCCATGTCGCATTAATCTGAGCATCAGGCGCGCGGATTACATTCCGGATTACAGATTGAGAGGCATTCCATCGTTCTGTCTCCTTTGGCACCGGTCAGCTCTCTATCTCACCACGACATGCCTGGCGCTCGGCACTCACGCGCACGTCTTCATAGCCCCCCCTCACCTGATCTCACATCCTCCGCCTCCCTCCTCGTCTGCGTCTTTTTCGGCCATGTCTCCCTCGCCTCCTGTCACTGCTCCTTCTCTGCCGTCCCTCCCGTACTCCTTTGCCTTCATCATATTCCCTGTCTTTTCCACACTACCCCCCGCCCCCGCCCACCCCCACCCCTTCACAGATGATCTTTGGAGAACAGACTTGGAATAGGAGGATGGTAAAATTGACATTACGAGAAGGAACAGAGTCATGCAGATGACAGATAGTTGCTGAAATCATGCCTGCCTGTTTTATTATGCACGATGATAATACAGTATGGCTTTCATGGATGGGCAACCTAAGAACTGTGTGTCATACGTGGCCTCTCGAGCGAATTTGATTGGCCCGCCATGCAAATCAAAAAACAAATACAACCTCAGAGGAACTGTTATATAGAAAAACACACGGAACCTATAAATGATCCTACCATGTTCACACCCACTGTGGTGTATAGGGACACCTCATATTTTGACAACTCTGAATGTAATAATACTAATAATAATCAAAGTAGTGAGTAGTAAACACACACTGCCCAGTTAAAATCTTTCTGACAGTGTCGATCAAAACTCATCATCATTGTAAAGCCTTCAATTCTGTACTGGGTCCTCTCAGATGTACCTAATACAGTTGGAGAGCATCTAAAACAAGCAACACAACAACAACTACAACAACAACAACACAACACGTCAACATGAGCAATTAATATCGATCCGGAGGAGTAACTGACCTTTGTTGCCATTGGCAACGGATGTCAAGCAAAGGAAGAGGAAGGAGAGACATTTCATTTTGTCCATCTGGGGGAGCAGAGGTGTAGAGAAAGGGGGAGGGGGGTGGGTGGGCGCATGCAACAACAACTCATTAGCACTCCAGAAGTAGAGACACAGAGGTTAAACAAAAAAGAAACCATGCAGGAACAAACATATTGATTGTCAATGCACAAACCCAATAAAATGATTTGATATGGGAAGGTTTGGTTTGTAACACTGTCGCTGCTTTATACACACACACACAACACCTCTGGAGAGATTTGGATGGGAGTGGTATTTTGGCAATATTTCATGCGGTGCAAATGCATTGTGTAAATGACGATAGTTGGATTTGGGAATGGTGTGGCCAGTAGTGTACAGTATTACCAAAATATATGCCGTATCTAAATAGCCAAATGAAAGAAACTGCTCATTTTCGCAATGGTCTCACTTTGTGTCTATTTACGCGTGTGTCACTTCCATAAATGGGCAAAACTGCGCGTGAGGGTGTTAAGTGGGTGTTTTCCTGCCTTTTAATTGTGGTTTGCCAGCAGCATGTGGCCCTTGATGAAAAATGACTCCTCGGGGGAGGATGGTATGGAATGAGGGGATGAATGTGGTGGGTTGCGGGCGCTCAAATCCAATCTGCTGCACTCCCACTTAATAAGCGACATTCTACACATTATCATACCGTACACAGATATTCACGTCCGGAAGGCCCTGGACGTGACAATGCATGTGTTCCCACTTGCAATGCGACATGACTGCGTGACAGTGACACAGATGAGGCTTCAATAATGGCTGCCCAGTTAAAGTCAGGTGAAATGTCGCAGCAACCACGATCTCGATGATGATCATGACGGTGAAGAAGAAGTGACGTTACCGTGTCGGCTGCAGCGGCGACGCCTGCTCGGTACCCACAGCCTCCTCTTTTTTTTTTTTTTTAGCCTCGCAGCATCCGCCTTCACGCCCCTGCCTCTTCCCCGAGCACACGTCCTCGTCCTCGGTTTAGAGCGGTCCCGAAGCTCCCGGTGATAGTTGATGGAGCTGATTGGTTGGGGAGGGGGGAAGGAAAAACCCCAAGACGATTCGGTGTGTAACTGGAGCAATGCCCTTGCTTTCTCGTCTGTAGAGAAGGAGAGATTGAGTGGGAATGTTACGGTGGCGTCCCCACTCCAGCTCCTCCCCTCCCTCGGCGTGCGTTAACCCGCCCACACTGCGTCCTTCTCCGGCTACGTCCTTCTTCAGCACCTTGGTGGCACACTGGTGCTCAGGTTTTTATTTAGTTATTTTTTAAATCTCAAACAATCACGTCTTGTTGTGTTGCGTAAAAATGTGCATTTAAGATAATCAATTCATTTCCTCGACACACACACGTACACACACACACACGCATACATGCATTAAACTGCAAAATGACGTCATAGCAGAAGAAGACAACAGGACCAGCTCAGTTTTGAAATGCAGCACTTTTTTAAATTACTCAGCATTAGAAAATCGTATTTTAAAAAAAAAAATCACATTTTCCCCCATGGGTCCGTCCCATTTTTTTTTAATATAAAAAAGATTTTTTTTGAACATTTGGTAGGAATAAGGCATAAAAGAAACAGGAAACCCTTGAAATCGCCATTAATCATGGTCATGGGGATGTTTAAAAAATTGACAGGCAGATGCTAGAGGCAGTTTGCAGAGTAGGATGACGATGAGATGCATCCCCAGTTGAGGCAGCACAGGTGACGCACACAATGTTCCTCAGCAGCTGCTTCATAATGAGATAACTGCCACCCCCACCCCCTTAAAAAACGAGGAGACTTAAAATAACAACACAACTGCTCCTTTTCATTTACGAACAAAACAGCTGAAGGAAGTGGCAACGCTGAACTCAGTGAAAGAACATCCATAGACTGGAGCAAGTGACAAGAGTGATTACCTTATTACAAACTATAAAATATTGCCATTGAATTATAAAATCAAGTCTTTTTGTTTCAAACACAAATTACAAGCAAATGTAAAACAGCAAAAACATTCATGAACACAAGGCCATGTTGAGTCGGTTGTGTTTGTGTCTGTATAGTAGCTCACAGAAATGAGGACACCCCTCACATTTTATATTAGCAAATCTGAAAAAATGACACTTCACTACGATGAAAAGTAGGTGACACGATGGGTATTTTCACTGAGGAGTGTACTCACTTTTGTTGTTGTTGTTGTTATAGACAATGACTGTCTTTACTTATTTTGAAGACGCATTAAATTGACAACAACAAAAGTTGATGATTTATTTTGTGGGGACAGCAAATGTACACTGCTTGTACACTGACTAACTTTACCAAGTAGCAAAGTGCCATTTCTTTCATGTTGTCCCATGAATTGAAATCATAAAATATTGCCAAAATGTGAGGGGAGCCCTGACTTTTGTAAGCTACCGTGTGCGTGCGAATCGCAGCGCTGGTATCTTGATCTCACAAATCAACAGGCATCGTTTGTTCTTGCAAGCGCGCAGCAGCAGCAGCAGTGTTTTATTGTTACATTCCAAAATCGCACTGACGCCTCGCTTCCACCTCACGTGAAGCTTTGCTGCTGCCGCGGTAGTTTGGAGACAGCGAACTTAAGAATCATGAAGAAAAAAATAATAATAATAATAATAAATAAAAAATTAAACTAAAGTTATTGGCCAACGACAGGCTCCGAACCCGTGACTGCTGAGTGCAAATAGTGTATTCCAGAGGATTAAAAATAAGAATTCAATCGTGAAGTTGCCCCTGACGGGTTCCCCAGTTAGCCCGTGTGGCACAATGGTCGTTTTTCCTGTAAACATTTCTCAAAAAATGTTTATAAAAACGTCCTTACTTTTTACACAAAATATATAGAGATTTATTTTCACATGGAAATATGTGTGTGTGTGTATATATATAATACACACATTTAAAGGCCTTAAAATATTTTCTTTTCCGCTCCTTTTGAAAGTCACAGTTCCCTTCAGTGGAGATTTTGACCTGCAAAGGAAGCAGAGAGACACTTGAACATCTTTTTTTTTTTTTTTTTTTTAAGCTAGTTAACGTGCTCCAAAACAACAACTCTGTGAGCCAAGTAAAAAATCTTTCAGAACATTTGGATAGCGTCCGGCAGGCTACTAGTCATGACATGCCTACTCGCTTGGGCTTGTACTACTCGTAAGGTTCAATTGTGTACTTGTAGGCCCAAAACGGCATAAGTAGTGGGGGAAAAAAACAAAAAACAAAAAAAAAAGAAAAAGAGGTAAAATAGTTCTATTACTGGTCTGAATTGTTTTATGAGTAAGAGTGTACTAGTACATGGACCTTGAGCTGGATGTAGACTAAATGCTCCAACAGGTTTCCATCCTGCAGATGTGAAGCTACGTACTGAACGACATCCAGCTTGTGTGATGCGCAGTGTTTCCAATGCATGTGTAGAAAAACTCTTCTTCGAATTTTTGAGGACAAACTCTCCACCATGTAGTGCGGCGTCTGCGTACCGAGCCGTCGTTTAATCCTGCTTTTGCGAGCTGCGTTCCTTCTTAGGCACCAGCGCCTTCCTCAGGTAGGGCACGATTAAATACGCTACAAGGAAGAAGACGTGACCGCAAAAGTACACCGAGAAGTACACCTGCAACACAAAAAGCAGAGATAGCCATCGTCAGGACGTACAAATGCAGAACGGTCGGGGGAAACATAAAAAGACAAACCGAAATGGCATTCGTTGAGACGTCGCAACTCCTCTCAGATGATCGGAACTTTGGTACTCAAAGCGCCTCACATTGTTACCTCGCTGAGCGACAGATGACGCAGCATCACGGTTCAGTATCTTTCTCATGTACACTTTGACGTGGTCGCACAGGTCGGGGATCAAACCCCAACTTCTGGGTACCATTGATCCATGCCTCCCCCAGATTGTCTTTCTACATGTGTTGCTGCACTGTTTTGAGTTCAATCTGCATACGGCGCTGCGACATCGATGCAACAGTATTTTGTGTCAGCATTATGCAGGTAGACTAAAAAGCTACAATATACATGAAAGCATCACTGAATTAAACACAAATCAAATTTGCAACAGTTAAAACTTGCGCTATAGTCCAACATATTAGAATGAAACTTGTATCAGCCAGTTTAAACTTTTTTAAAAAATCCAGTATACATTTTTTCCTTTTCAAGTACAGTAGATTTTTTAAGGACAGTTCAGTTGTATTTAACGTTTAAGTACATTACAATAGACTGCATTTACTCTTTGGTAACTGTTTGTTTATAAACATTTAAGTCAATCTTTTATTGTGAAAATATGCATCTTTTATTTCTTTTATTCTTTTAACATTCCGGTTATAATATCGTAGTGAGTATTTTACTTTTCAGGGTGGCCTAAATACTTAAAATAAATAAATAAATAAATAAAAAAGAAACCCACAACTGCAGATGTGAAGAAGTATTGCGATAAGACTCCTTTTTTTCCATAGCACAACTCAAGTCAACTTTTGGTCCGAATGTCTGGATCCTTCTTGTCTGTACACGACGGTTCGCAACGCACCTTGAGCCATTTGTCGTAGAAGAAGATGCAGAAGGGCACCAGCGCATAGCCCATGAAGAGCCAGTGAATGATCTGCTGGATGATGTAGATGAGAGGCAAAAGTGGCCCATTGGACAAACGACTCAGCATTGGACTGTCCCGCACCAAGGCCTGATACTGTCACAGCAGAAACACACACCGGGATTTTTTTTTCTCCTCTTAAAGTGGGTCGCTTGCCAAATTAAGACGAGAGTCAATATTTAATATTAGCCGCATTTAACAGTGTGATGCATTGGATCAATACGCTTGAGTCGCTCGAGAATAAGACGCACAAGTCTCATCATTAATACGCTGTGCGGGGTTTCAATGAGGCAAACACGGGGGAATGATGACTTGAAAGGTCTGAGATAAGAATGACGATACCTGTCGCTCAACAGTGATGATGAAGAACTCCATGGAGAAGCACATGAGGTACCCCGAGTGAAGACCGTGCCATAAAGTCAAGAAGAGCAGAGTGGACACATGGGAGAGCGTTTTGTTGCCCAAGAACTTCAGCCGCTTGAACACATGCCTGGAAGACCCAAAATAGAAACGACGGTCATGAAAACGCTAACCGCTTCAGATATATTTCAATCCTAAAGCTTAATACTTCTTTCTACACTCTCGTTTTGGTTAAACCACACCATGAATGTGACAAGTCTCTTGGGCTGACCGCCGCCCCTCCCCCATTTTGTCCTTTTTTACTGCCGCTTCTCCTCTCCCCTCCTCTCCTGTTTGAGTTGGGCGACGTGTTAAGGAGCAAAGTGAGGCTTTTGCTTCCACTGATTGGGTGAAAATCACTTTTACCTGCAGTGCTTTATTTCATTAAATCATGGTGGGCAACTGAAATGACAGAAGGGGCCACAGTTTTTCATCAGCACTACTGGTGGGGGTCGGGGGGGCACATAGGACCACACATTTCTGAACCAGATGTACGACAAAATGCCATTTCACGTTCCAGTTGACGTTTCTCTTCTGGGTGCCGCACTGACCTGGCGGCCCAGGCGTTGGTGTTGATGTTAAAGGAGGCGATGGTCCCCCCAAAGAGCGGCGTGGTCTCGAAGAGCCACACCTTGACGTTGGCGCAAGCGTCCCACTGGTGCTGGCCCTCCCTCATGCCGTTGTAGCCCAACCCGGCCAAGATGCAGACGCCCTCCTGCAAACGCATCATCGTCACGGTCACATTTGGTGAGTACCATATTTTGGGCACTAGAAGACGTTTGCTTGTCTCACGAAGGTAAGCCATTTTAAACTAAAAAGAAGAACTTTTCTGGAGTCAGACGCAGAATTTCTGAATCCAACTGGAACTCGCTCTCGGCCGTCAATACAATTAGGGAGCAGAGATTTGGGAGCGAGTTGTCAAGTAGCACCTGATTCTAAGTCCCAGGACGAACTAGCCAAACTATGAAACAAAACAGTCTACGGTACATCCTTTTTATTGGATAGCGATGAATGTTCAGAGCGCTTGAAATTAATGAATATTTTGGTGTCCCGCCCCTATTTTGTGATGTGCTCGGCCCAACTTTTTGTGAGAATTGTTGCATTGACTTTGCAATGGCAAAGATTTTTGATACAAGTCTTGTAGTCGGTGTCATAGGCAGATGGTCATTCACACTTACCGCTATGAGCCAGCAGCAGACATATTTATACAATATGATTTTGGCCCAAATCATAATGAATAAGCAGCGAAACCAGAATGGGTGAGCCTGCGGAGAAAACACAAAAGTGACACAAGACTCGGGGCCACTCCCGCCTCCACCCCCGAGGGCCTCAAATGGCAATGCCAATACAGTACTCACGTCATACTCATCCGTCAAGTAGTAGCTCTCTTGGAAATGAGGACTAAATATTGCAAATATGACCAGACAGAGAAAACCCAGAGAGAATCTCTTCGCAGCCGGTACGACACTAGGAGGAGGACAAAACATGAAAAGATGATGGGAAGGGCAAGCTACGCCATCCGCTGAAAGGGTGAGCTGACTTCTTTACCTGTTTGGAGGCTTTCCCGGGCTGTCGCTGAGTTCCCCCGCCACCAGCTTCTGGTAGCTGCGCAGCGTGAACTGCGGGCCCACCAGGAAGCCGCCGTAGAAGTAAGAGAAACCGAGCACCTCCAGCAGCGAGGGCACGCGCGGCAGGGCGGCGCTCTTCTGCTGCGCGCTGAGCTCCGCCTAAGCGGTGAGCGTCGCACATGAGCAGAGAAAATATTTGGATGGACATTTGGATTTCAGCTGGGGGAGGAATCACAAAGCCAAAAGTGCCCGCAATTGCAAAATGGCTGCGTGAAATCCGCATTCATTGCCTATTTGTGTTTGCTGAGCATTTGCAAAACATTATACTCTTGTTTGTATTTATGTTGCCCACAACGTCCACCTGTTCTAGTGACGGCTTCTTACAACACACATAAAACGAGCCCGAGAGAGATCGTTTCAAAACTTTTCCCGCCGTTTTTCATTCGTTTTGAGAAAGCGGGTCACAATAAACAATTGAAAGCATGCGGTTGCACAAGCACGCACGCCCTCTCACAACAGGCTGTGTTCAGAATGAAGCAATCACTCTCAAAGTTCATGTTCAAAGGGAGTCAGCATCCACCTGCCACCATGACAGGGGAACACCATACCTGCAGTGAAGCTACAACAGACAAAGGATCACCTTTCCAAGTTTTTGTTTTGCGGACCCCCTGAGATAGCCCTGCCCCACCCCATTACCCCCACCCTCCCCAAAGGATAAAAGTCTAGTTCCGCCACTGGCCGCGCCCATTTAGTTTTACTTTGAATGTGGTTGCTTCATTCTGAACGCATTCTGATCCCAGTTGCGGGAGGGCGTGCACACTTGTGCAGCCACATTACTTCAGTTATTTCTCAAATATTCAATTCATACCCCTTCTCCACCGCCCCCCCCAAAAAAAAAAAAAAAACAACACAACAATTTCGTGCTGGTTCAGCACCAAGGCCAGTGCTGTGCTTCGTTGGTGCTTAACAAGTTCTTATGAAGAAAGTGTGTGGTTTTTCCATAGAGCCAAGTAGGAGCTACGTCATTGTGAAGGGTCCAAACTTCACTGCTTACGTCGACGTTTACCCAAGACCGCCCACGCTATTAATAATAATAACAATAATAATAATAATAATCCGATGTTAGCATCTGCTAGGCAACTTAGCATAACATCGATTATACTTTTATGTCGTATTTAACAGTCAGGGACATACAATCCGCAAACCCTTCGAACTTTCTTCATCGTTGGAGATGATCACGAGGCTAGCTGCGAGTCGGAGATCGCGCGCTATTTGGGCACAGCCGCCATCGCTCCTCTGCTGGGACACAGTTGTGCCGGGGGTTCACCGCTCAAAACACCGCGTGTCCAGGGTGTCAGTCCTCTACAGCTGCGATCGTCATGATCATGACGTAGTTGGTGCCAGAGTCCGGCCAACAAATAATTGTGGCTAGCTTAAGCGCCGGTTTCAAGCACCAGAGCTCGAGCCAATTTCGGTGGTGGAAAAACAAAGAACTGGTGCTAAAGCGGACACCGGCTCGGAACGAGCACTCGCACAAACGCGGTGGAAAAGGGCCACGAGCTGTACAAGTTAGAGGGCACGTGAATGGCGGGTAAAGTTTTGAAGCAATTTCTCCTGGTCTCATTTATTCACAATCGCAAAAATCTGGCATTGGTTCTCCTCCCGGCTAAATTAATGTTTAGCATTGCAGGTCTACCAAGTGCAGTGGCCGGTGAGTGCATGTGGAGAAGACAAACACAAAAGCAGAAAAAAAAAAGAAGCAACGACATCAACCAACTCACTGGTTCTTTCCCGCCGTCATAGTAATCAAATGCCAAACCTGGAATCAGAAAGCGTAAAAAGGGGCGTAAGGAACCGTGTTAGGGTGGCTAATGAATGAAATCATGACCTTTAAGCAAGGAGGGCCGGCGTGCGCAAGCGGTTAATGGCCGTGATAAAGCGCAGATAAGACGACGGTCGTAAAACAGAAAGCGCAGACGCCTGCTTTGACCAAAGGAGGGTATACCAATCAGTTTGAGCGTGAGGACGCAGTGAGGCATCGTCCACTTGATGTCGTACTCCTCCGTCGCTGTGAAGTAATAGCCTGCCAGCAGGTATAACTGTAAGAGGGGGAAAAAAAAAGGAATTTCCATAAACATTCCCTGTTCGTAAGAACAACTGGGAAACAAAACAGCACGGTAGCGAAATAGGTTAACGCAAATGTGAGGACAAAAAAATAAAAAATAAATTGGAACTGAGCACATATTCAAAACATCAACATTTTACAAATACGGTATGTTAATGTACATTCGCTCACGACAAGAGGAACGACGGGTTATTCATTAACACGCGATAGAGATTATTAGGGTGGAAAAGGAACATCGAGCAAGGACCGGAGAAATGACGGAGAAGAAAATGAGGACTTTCACCCTCGAAAACTCGACGGACAAACGCCTTGGGACGCCTCTTCGCTCATTTATCTCGTCGAAAAGCAGAGATTAGGAAATCATCTCCTGGGACGCTAATATGAAAAAGAGCACTTGGTGTACAGCGCGCAGTGATTAATTTTAGAGGTGGTGGACCCGCTATGATGCACTCAGCAATTCGTTGACTTTTGAAAATACATTTCAGCTTTTCCACTTCTTTTTTTCAAATTGTTAAAATGAGATTTCAATACGACCCTTAAAATGCTCATACAGGGTCATGCTCAACCGACAATATAAGCGTGCGGAATGTGGGAAAATGATTGAGTGCAGAATAGGGCTTGGGAAATTTTTGATTTCCCTCTATATATATTTTTTTTTAACTTTTATTTCAGAGAAACACATATGCCCAAGTGACCACAACATTCTAGCAGCACAAATGCATGACATAAATCATGCGGAATCACAACAGCAGAGTTGTACTTAGCAACAGTAGCATTTATTTCTAGAATGGTTGCTCGTAGGTATATTTATAAACGTGGGCAAGACATTTGAAGTAGTGTTTTAATTTTTCTACATTTAGGAGCAGTGGTCATGATTTTTGGCTGTGCACCGCTTGTGTTTGAGGGGGAAAAAAAACAACTAACGAATAAAGAAGACGCAGCCCCCCCCCCGTGAGGATGCCTCACCATTTGAAAGCTGAAGCTGCTGAGGATGGCCGTTACCGTCCTTCCCATGAGCCTCAGCATCAGGAACTGCACAAGGATGCATACTGCCGAGTGATAGATCTGGGAACCTGTCAGGGGTGGGGGGGCACAGATCAATCGGACTCGCTCGACTCAATGTGCTTCGCTTACTTCTACGAGTGATGGGTGAGTGCGGCAGCGGACACACTTCATTGGTGCGACAAGCTTCCAAGTCTTATTACACAAAGAGGAGAGATTAAGCAACAGACCTGCTGTGAGATCCAAAGAGCAGCCACCAAAAAAATAATAATAATAAGGGGGAGGGGGAAAAAAGAGAAAATGCATCAATCTGAAAAAGTCAACACATCCTTTCCAAAGGCACTACACAAGTTTTTTTTTTTAACTTCTATTTTTTGGGGGGAAGGGTGGCGGGGTGACGCCATCACAGAGAGGCACCGTGGTTAGTAAAGAGGAAATATCAGGCCATGAAACAGGAATGGGAATGTATTGCGACACAGATGGAACAAAGCCACACTTGGCAGTTGATGGTAAAAGTTCCGATCAAATGAGAGCCAACTGCGATAAACAAGCGTGCCAATTCCTGTCTGCCGTCTGATGCAAATTTGCCACGTCATCAGCCATTCGGTCAAAACACGCAAACTTTGTTCAGGCTGCTCAGCACAAAAGCAAAGCATGGTCTGCTGATTTTTTTTTTTTTTTAACCTGGCCAACCAAGCATTTTTATTTTCAATAGTCGTGTAATATTTGCTGCTAGCTATTTCGACCGAAAAGTTGTTTCATTAAAATGGATTTATACATGTTCAGGTTAGAGTGTCATATTTTTTTCTTATCTAGTAGTATATTACATTGATTAAATACAATTCAGTTAAGTTTTAAAACTGGCCCCCTCCCCCAAACCTTTATTCCGTTACAGTTTTTTTAATACCGGTAACTTCTATTTAATAAATTTTATTTGATTCAATTATTGAAGTAACCTTTCTTTTTCACTTTTTTTGGTTAGTTTTCCTATATTTGAGCATGTGTTAATATTTAATGTGACAGTGGCTTCAATAATCTGAAATATACTTTTTCGGAATAACACCTGCCTCATTTAAAAAAAAAAAAAAAACACGACACAATTAGATTTCAGTGTTGGCCATGATGGGTTGACATTTATTTTGACATTTTTTGAGGTGATACTTGGTGGAAAATGTTTGCTGGATAAACTATTTGACATATTTTGCATACACTTTTTCACAGTTTTTTTAAGCTACGAAGGACCTGCACCATGTTAAAAAAATAAAATCTAAAATGGCCCTTGAGCAAAAATGCGAGGAATGCATTGGAGCTGTACAGAGGTATGAAAATGAATGGCAGCTGTATAGAAAACATGGCCCACATATGTGGGGGGGGATGACTCACATGAAATGCAATTATTGTATTTTGCTTTTGTTTGATTCCCTTCACTTGCATCTTCATCCACAAATGGGGTTACTGCAAGCAGCCGGAGGAGTTTTTCCCTCCATAAATAACTGAATTTGTTGAAAAACCTTTCAACTCGCACTCAACCGAGACTGCTTTGCATGCAAATACGACACAAATGCACACCGGTGCCCTGAGGGCGCTGAGCCACCGCTACGAGAACCGGCAAGATCAGCCTGTGGAAATGTTCGTTCCAAATCTCGCATGCAAAAACAAACCAAAAAAAGGGCAAAAGTGCATCAACAGACGCTCTCATGAGCCCGGAGATATTCTCAAGAAAGAGGTGAGAAAATCCACCAAAGAGACGCAAGTGGTGATAAAAGTTGTGTGTGGTCTCCACAGATTAGCATATGGAGCGCACTCATGCAACCACTGCTGGCCCGAGCAGAATTTTATTTGGGTCCTCCCTACCCCACCCCCCCAAAAAAAACATGCTCGCACTTTGTGGTGGGCTGGTCGTGACCAGGGCGTCTTGAGCAGTTGCTTCGTCTGCTGCTGGCCCTCAGAAAAAAATGTTCACTCAAAGAGTTGACATTGGAGGAAAATTGGGCACACAATTGGCTGTTAAGCTCTCCGGGACAGCGGATGGGTTCAACATAAAAACCACAAAATGGGTGCTAATGACCGTGTAGTTCAGCGAGGGAACGCAAAAACGTCCTTGACTTTTCACATAAAGCATTTCAGGTATCTTCATTTTTTTTTCTCTAAATTAGCCCTCAGTATAGTTTCCAGTAAGTTGTAAGTGTTTGTGCGATTCAAATCCCCATTGAGAGTGCGCACAGCTTCCCCTGAACTCTCACTGGCTTTTATTTTGAAGGTGGCCCACCGAGTGGCATGACGGCTAGCTTGACTTGTCTTTTCGACCTTGATTAATGAACTTGATAATTTGCTGTTACCCACCGGCAAACCCCCCCCCCCCACACACACACACACACACTTAAACCACTGGATAGACCTGCTGTCATCCGCACGGGCACAGGACAAGCTTGTAAACCTCTGTAAACCGCTTTTCATCTCACCAAAGTTAAACGTGGCAAGAGCCAGTCCAGAGAACGTGTGGAACAGGTGGATAACGGTGGCCGACTGGTGGAACAAGAAACTCCGGTAGATCAATGCAAAGGGATATCCTGCAGGAGAGAGACAGTGGAGGAAATAAGATAAGATAAGATAAGAAAACCTTTATTAGTCTCGCAATGGAGAAATTCCCAATTCACAGCAGCAAAGTTATGAATGGAAGTAGAACAACAAAATATAGGAGCTGCATGAAAATATCAACGCCGGCGACGACAAAATGACAGTGACAGTTTCATGACATCCAATACAAGTTGATTCGGTTTTGAAAAGCTCATCTTCAAATATAAAAGTCAGCCGAAAAAGAGATCCGGTGTGTAAACGACCAGAAAGGTGAGCTAAATATAGTTTTATTCGTCTCTTAAACCTCAGCCACTATTTCTTCTTTCCAAATGTGCGAGGCATTTGTCATTTCAAATTCAATTCTATTACTTCTTCAAACAACAAAGTGAAATGGCACGACTGTCTGTTTTATGTGTTGTGATGTATTGTTTTGTCATTTTATGTTAAGTGTTCTTTGATAGCGGCGTGGGCACCCGCAGCGGCTCCTCTTGTTTTCTGTTGTCTGTTTAAGAGGGAGGAAATTTCATCTGTGATGTATGTACATTTGACAAAAAAGTTGTACTTGACTTGACAAGGACAGCATTCAAATAAATATTTGTTTCTTTACATCAAATAATGAAGTGCTTCCTCTTGGAAAATGTCCCTTTTGTCAAAACATGTACGGAAACACAATCCTCAATACATTAGCGTTTTAAATATTCAACAATTTAACACAAAAGGAGCGGCCAAACTGCATTGCTCGGTTCGTCAATACGTACGAGCACGAGTAATGCCCGCTTCTCATCTCCAGTTTAACAGGTGGAGCAAGGAAACCTTGGCAAAATATTATTTAATATTATTTGGAAGCACATAACTTGAGTCAAAAGTTTCCCACATTGCTGCTTTTGCAATGTCTAAATGGACACTGTGTCTTTGTTGTTAGTGCAAGCAGCGCATGTCAGCCCGGACGTGCTTTGAACTAGAGAAGGCCTTTAAATTGACAAATCAACTTTAATTATAACCGATAAAACGGATTCATCACCCAGTCACTCTTTTTCTAATTTCGGCTTTTAAAGAGGTGTTTGCCTTCAGACCACTAGGTTATGCAAGAGCCATTAAGCAACAAACAAGGACGGGGAACATGCAGACTATCAGATTTAGAGCCAGTATGTTGCCTTGTGACCTTGCTGGCCTCGACGTGTGTCAGGGCAAAGTTCAGAGGAAAACCCATACATAACACAGAACATTACATACATATTGGCATTCATCCACACAGTTCCATGTCAAGCCATACTGTCGGACGTAAATGCTACAAATTACAGTTACAGTTGCACAATGTTGACCCGAGAAGGTGTTTCGCTCGTGCAACCTTATAAAGTAATTATTGGACGCCTTACACACGACGAAACTGTTATTTCGACCACTTAATTTCAAACGAACGTTGTCCCCAAAGTGACGAGATGACACACAGTAAATCGCTGCTCAAAAGTTGTTTGATCGTTAGCTTCGTTTAAAAAGCAAAATTAACCGGCAATGCCCCCTCACGTTTTGACGTGTTTATAAAAACGCTTTATGGACAAGCACAATACTGTACTTAACATAACGGGCTCGTTTGTACTTGGGTAAACTCAGTTTGAAACTGTCACAACAGTGCATGAAGACGTTATGTTGACAGTTCCACGCAACAACACAGTCACTGCTCTGGTAAAAAAAACCTAAATGATTTCTCAACCAGCGCTGGTATTAACCCGAATTATTAAAATGAAGAACTTACCGACCAAAATTGACAATATTAGACGAACAGCGGGTTCGGAAGAACCCAAAGAGTCCGAAAGATTCTCCAGCCAGGGAAGCGCCATCTTTACTGTGGGCGGAAACGTCTCTACGCGAGGGGTCACTGAACTCATCCACACGCTCTCTCAGACACGCATGCACTCACGCATACACACACACACACGAGCGCGCGCACAGAGTCAAGATAGACTACGTTGCGTGTGAACCCGCAGAGGTTTGGCCCCCTCCGACCTCTCAAAAATGGACCATTCTGCCTCCTTCGACGTCGTCTCATCAAGCGAGCCAGTTGGGGCAACGTCAAGTGACGTGCTTATTAATATAGAGCTAGCGAGCAGGAGCTCATTGGGTGAGAAAAAGAGTCCATCATCCCCAGCCAATCATGGAGCGTGTTCTTATGAATATTAATAAGTAGTCCCCTCAAACGAATGGTTCCACAGTGTTCAATCATATTGTGTCGTCACAGATGTTTGCATTTTTTTCACCCGGTACAATGATTTTTTTTAACTATGAGGGCGTACAAAATACTGTGGGAAAGGATCATTAGGCGAAGTAAGCGTGCCTCCAAGTGGCTAGACTCAAGAACACAGAATATTGCCATCCAGCATATATTGACAGTGATTGTCATCGTAAGCATTCACTTCCGTGTTTCTTTAAGCTGTTGCCAGCAATTATGGGTTTCACAATCTAACAATGTACACGATATGACTCTTTCAGTGACAATCCCCAGCTTCCCCATTTTCGTATAACAGCGACATTGCACCCCAATTCTATTAAGAAGTCGACATAACCAATGACATCAGTAGCGACATTTTTATCTTAAACCAAGTGGTGGGCTTCTCTTTAAGAGAAACCTTCTAGACAAATATCTAAAGAGTTTCACATTCCTAAATTTTTTAGGGTCAACTGTACTGGTTATATTACTTTGTAGCCATTGCTTTTGGTCACGGTGTCGTCCAAGTCTCATTCCACCCCTCACGCCCCCACCTTGAAATTGTCCAAATAATTAACATCGTAAATCTCAAACGACTACTACGTTATAAATTGTGGTGGTTTGATCTTAAAACATTGACGGTAGTCTACTAATTATTCAGATTTAACTCCAAATCGACCAATCGGCTGTGTGGGCGACGGCGAGAGAGCCAATCAAATGGCGAAACTTTTGTACATCGTTCTTTTTTTTTTTTAACTTATGTTTTGACTTAAATCATTTGGCCCACGGTGGACTTCACTAGATACTGACTGTTTAATTTGAGGGCAGTCAACATTTGGAAAACGAAGGATGTTTCCTGTTGACATACAATACTTCATGTTGCGTCCAGACACTGGCAAACCGAGGTACCGGGTTGCATTTTAGGTTAATCACTGTACTGCGCGGACGTGGAATCAGATGGGAGCCTTTTTCCACGTTGCAGAGCGGGCTAGTCTTTGAGAACGTCCTGGAGAAACATCTAAAGATCTTCAATTCCTTAATAATACCGTCACTTCTGTTATTATCCCATTAAAGACAGAGCTTTTGGTCACAGTGTCGTTTTTTCCCCTGTTTCCCAAGTGTTGAATATCCACATGTGAGGAAATAAGAAATACGTATATTTACATACATTAACTGCATTATTGATAAATTGTGGTTTGAATTTCATTATTTAACTTGAAGTTGGTGAATCGGTTTCAACACGGTGGGTGGGATGACGGCGAAAAAGCCAATTGAGTGACGTAACATCGCAAAATAGTACCGTATGACTTTTTTGAATTTGTCATTTGACTCAATTTTTTTTTTTTTTTTTATAAATGCGAGATCGACTCTACTGGACAGTCACTGTTTGGAAAGAGGCTTCACCCAAACGGTTTTTCTTTCTTTTTTTTGTTGCAAAAAATTAAAATGTATCTGTTTCATTTGGAATTAAAGCTCTCTGTGGCAGGTCATAAAATATTTTTAAAGTAGGCTTAAAAACAAAGAAGGAAAGCAAGCAAGTAAGAAAAAAATCCACCAAATTGGTGAATCATCGGGTGCCAGACTGCAGATATGCAAGAGTCGACTTTGGCTACAAGTTGTTCGTGATTGCATTTTTTGGTACATTTTCAAAACTAGTATTTGTGTTTTTCTACTTAAGACATACGTTTAATCAGGTGTGGAACCAGAAATGAATGTGTTTATTTGTTTGTTTGTTTGTTTGTTTGTTTGTTTGTTTGTTTGTTTGTTTGTTTGTTTCAATGGAGTGACCAAGGTGACGCCGTAGCTCCCGTAGCAATTTAAGTCGTATTTTTTTATCACCCCATCTACAGTCAGGGTTTCATACGGTACAATATACAGTACACGTATTCAGAATGATGTCCATCACGCTTATAATCACGCAAGACCGAGTCTAATTAAAAAGCAGCGTTTAGCTGAGCTTAATTTCCTAGATATCTGCAACCGGCATCTTTTTCATCCATCTGCTGTGGCTTTTTGTTACTTTTTTAAAATAAGTTTTATTTGTGAAAATGAAATGAGTTTCATTTTCCAGTCACTTTCTCAAGCCTCTCTTTTGTCGTTATACAGTACTGTAGTAGCGAATGCGTTGAGAGTGATTTTACACACACACACTGAACGCCTCATGACATTTTGCTCTTCCTCTTCCTGAAAGACGGAGGAGGCGCGTTTGCGGGCGGTCCGACACAAGCCAATCAAGCCGGCCCAGAGGAGGAGCTAACTTTTCTCTATTTTATAAATAAGACGAGAGGTTATCTGGCGTCTGGTCTTTTCTTCTTCCAAGACCATCTCGACTTCGCCCCGTTTCTTTCGACAGCGAACACACCACCCAACGGCAAAATGAGCAGGAAATTCTTCGTCGGTGGAAACTGGAAGATGAACGGCGACAAGAAGAGCCTCGGCGAGCTCATTCAGACCATGAATTCCGCCAAGGTGGACCCCAATGTCGGTAGGGAAAGCGCCATTGTAATGTTCAGAAATCACAAAGATGCGCAAAACATTAAATAGCTTGATTATAAACTCTTTGCGGAAAGGTTCGTGCAGGTTAATAGAGATTTAAATTGGATTTCGTGTCACGTTCATCGGTCAATGGAGGGCGTGTTCGACAGCACGTAGTCCAGCTTTGCGGCTTCTGTTTGCGGTGAGTTCGCGTACACCGACGACGCTTCATCATATATGAATCTCTAATTGACACAACTAAACTGTTATACTGCATACAATATATAATACGATCTGATTTTATCCCGTTAAAGCAACTTACTCGGGTCTCCTGCATAAGCAAAACCCCCCAAATGATTACACAATGAATGGAACGATAAACCGAGGTTCTGTCGTGTCCGATTTTTCCAGTGTGACTTGAAGGCAACAGTTGGCAGAGCCCTCCCTTTTCCTGCAGGCTTGCTAAAACCCACCACAATGAGTCTGATGAGTCTGCTTTCACAGTGTTTGTAATCACAGCCGCTAGCACAATGGAGATGCTGACTGTGTTGAACCCAGTGTCCGCTGTCTGGTTTTCTTTTGTTTAATACAACTATTGTGTGTGTTTGTCCTTCACAGGGCCTCACCCCCCCCCACCACACACACACACACACACACACACACACACACACACACACACACACACACACACACACACACACACACACGCACCAAAATTGTTGAACTTCGCCCTGTCTCTCCATACACCCCTCAGAGTGCCAGCTAACGCACACTCTTTACCATTAGCCAGACGTGACGTCTGCAGAATGCGACCCTGACAGTGACCTTTTGCGGTGCGGTGCTGAACTTTATGCAGAGGGTTTTGCAGAGAATTGACCTTTAGCACAGCATAAATGAAACTGGGCTGTGTTTTAATATAGATGGCCTCGGGGGTACAGTTACGATTTGAATACCGGTGTATCAACTTCACTGCACTCTGTGCGATCCGAGCATGCTCTACTTCCTTCGATAACATTCAACTGTTTGCTGATTTAGAAACGCTGGCTTCGGAATGTCTTTCTGTACCTCAAGTCATGACATTTGTGGCACGGCATTGGTGCAATGGCGATATCGAAACAGCACTAAAAGGGCCTGAAGGAAATACCTTTTATACAGTTTGGGTATGCACAGAAGATAATTCAGGTTAATGTAAAATGTATTCTCATAGCACCTCTCATAGATCAGGAGTCGGGTATCCATATGTAAAATAATCCCATTTAGTTTTCCTCCCCCTCTCAATATTTGCAATTTACTTTTTTGCAAGGTCCCCATCCGACCCCATCATTTTTTAAAACAAACCCAAGTAATAACTTAATCTGTATTATCTGGATCTGTATTATCAAATCTATTATACATACTTGTTTTGGTTTTATAGATTAGTCTTATGCAAAATCTTTGTGGTAAAATAGAAGCAAACGAACCAAGAATTAAATTGCAACTTCAGTTCACTTCTTAAAGACTTTGACTCGCAGTCTTTTAAGCGTTCACCATGACAACCAAGTTCCACCAAACAAGTACGTAAATCGGTGAGTCATAAATCATATTACAACAATAATGCAAACAAATCTCCATGATCACATTTCTTCACTTAAGCTTTCATGAAAGAGTGGTGTGTAAATTTTCGGGAAAATAAACATAATACATCCCAAAAAAAATTAAGCCTGCCTAGCGAACAAAAGAAGCTTTTAATTTTATTTATTTTTCTAATTGCAGCCTTTGCGATTTGGAAAATTTTGTTCTACTACATTGCAATGTCAATTTTGTTCACAATCAGCATCGCTTTATTGTCATTGTACCACAGCGTGAGTGCAATGAAATGAAACGGACAAAACGCGGCCAAGAGACAATCGAAAAATCAACGAGCAACAGGGGGATACAGAATGAGAGTCCTCCAAGTTGCATTTTACAGCGCCTCGTTTTTTGCAGATTAAAATGACACTGGGCTGTGTTTTAATATAGATGGCCTCGGGGGTACAGTTACGATTTGAATACCGGTGTATCAACTTCACTGCACTCTGTGCGATCCGAGCATGCTCTACTTCCTTCGATAACATTCAACTGTTTGCTGATTTAGAAACGCTGGCTTCGGAATGTCTTTCTGTACCTCAAGTCATGACATTTGTGGCACGGCATTGGTGCAATGGCGATATCGAAACAGCACTAAAAGGGCCTGAAGGAAATACCTTTTATACAGTTTGGGTATGCACAGAAGATAATTCAGGTTAATGTAAAATGTATTCTCATAGCACCTCTCATAGATCAGGAGTCGGGTATCCATATGTAAAATAATCCCATTTAGTTTTCCTCCCCCTCTCAATATTTGCAATTTACTTTTTTGCAAGGTCCCCATCCGACCCCATCATTTTTTAA